TCAAGTGTTTTTTAGATAAACGTGACATCTCTGTGAAATTATTTGTAAGCAGAGTTGTGTTACAATAGGCACAATGTCTGTTTGGAATTATGAAGCCAAAAACTACAGCGAAAATTACTAAAATAAGAATAACCGAGAAGTTGTAAGAGATGAGTTAATATGTACCGTTGAACTAGAGTAAAAAGATCGGAAAACGAAAAAGATAATACACGTGAAAAAAAGGTACAACCTTCAAAGTACGCGTCATTATGATCCGTAATGATCCGTAATGTAGCGATTCGGTCAATACATGATCGATCCTTACGAAATCCAGCCTGTTGATCTCGAAGTCGGGCGTCTACGAAGTCCTTCATTCTGTTTAACAATACCCTGTTGAAGACTTTGCCTGGTATTGAAAGAAGAGTGATGCCTCTGTAGTTCTCAAACTTGCTGAGATCGCCTTTTTTGGTATTTTGATCAGGTATCCTTCTTTCCAATCTGATGGTACTTGTTCCTCATCCCAAATCTTCTTGAAGAGATTGTGGAATATTTTCGCGGTTGCTTCTACATCAAGCGCGTTCCGTATGACCTTTCCCAACAAATTCACTATTGATCTCGGCAAATAGCCGAAAGAACCTATTGTGCACCTTCTTTCCTTATTTGCACTCTACTATTGAATATGTGGCTGTATAATACTGTTTCTGTCAGTGACATGGTGTAAATATGCAATCAGAAACTGACTCTTATACTTAATTTAACTGCTATAACTTTACAGTAATTGTGAAAGCATTTGTGACAATTTGATCTAGCCTGTAAACTGGCGTGACTCTTGTAACGTAGTTATTTGAGAATAAATATATATTATATTTTTATATCTGCCTTCATTGCCTCTGCTGGAATGTTGTCTGGTCCTGCTGCTTTGCTGCTCTTGATTTGTCTGATGACCGTACTGATCTCCTCAATTGCGAGGTCCGTAGATGCTGCTTCGATGTTAGGTGGTCGATTCAGGAGTTCCTGAAAGTGCTCTACCCACCTATTTCGCTGTTCTTCAGTGTTGCTGATTATTTTCCCTTCCTTGCTTTTCACTGGTCGCTCTGGTTTACGATAGTTTGCGGCCAGCTTCTTTGTTGTTTCGTACAACTGCCTCAAGTTTCCGTCTCTTGCAGCCTTTTCGCCGTCATTGCTAGATCTTCCACATATTTTCGTTTGTCAGCTCTGATGCTCTTCTTCATTTGTCTGTTTGCTTCCATGTATGCAGCTTGTGCGGTAACTTTCTCTGCTCTTGTTCGGCTGACATTGACTGCTACCTTCTTGTTCCTCCTTTCTTCAATTTTTGCAAGAGTATCAACAGAGATCCATTCCTTGTGATGGTACTTCTTGTGGCCCAGAACTTCGTGACATGTTGAAGTGATTGCCTCCTTAATCCCTTTCCAACTGTTCTCCAATGTTGCGTCCTCTCCATTGAGTAGATCCTGAAGGGTCTGTAACCTATTGGTGAGGGCTATCCTAAATTCGTTGAGCTTTACAGTATCCCGAAGAAAGGCCGTATTAAACTTCTGTGATGTCGTCTGTCCCGTTGTCCAGTGCTTCTTCAGTTTCAGTTTCATTATGGCAAATGGTGATCTGAGGCTATATCAGCTCCTCTCCTGGTTCTCACATCCTCCATGGTCCTTCTGAACGTTTTGTTGATACAGATGTGGTCAATTTGGTTTTGAGTAGTGTGGTCCGGTGAAATCCATGTGGCTTTGTGAATGCGTTTGTGCGGCAATATTGTGCCACCGACGACCAGTTTGTTGAAGGCACATAGGTTTGCGAATTTCTCACCGTTTTCGTTTCTTTCTCCTAGTCCATGTCGTCCCATGATGTCTTCATATCCAGTGTTGTCCATTCCAACCTTGGCATTCAGGTCTCCCATAAGAATCGTCAAATCTTTTGGTGAACATTTATCGACGATTGACTGTAGCCTTTCGTAGAATTGATCTTTAACACGTCGTCATTGTAGTCATTGGTAGGCTGCGTGCATTAACTACGAGGCGTTGAATGAACTTGATATTCAGTCGATGAAGATTTCCAATACTTTGATTAGTTGTCATGATGAAAAGCAATCTCAGGGTCAATCAAAATTGTGTTCGTTTAACAGAGGTTCCTATTCTCGTGTAAAAATGAACGGTGTCTCAAAAAAGAATTACAAAGGAAATCAAAAAGGTGAGACCAAGTTTGGCAAATGTTTATCATGTGGAAAACTTCATTCTCGTTATTATTGTACATTTCGTAATGCTAAATGTTTTAGATGTGGTAAGATAGGACACATTCAAGCAGTATGCAAAGCCACTGTTCATTTTGCCTCAAGTAGTACTAAAGCTTGTAATTTAGATTCCAATAATTCAGCTGATCCTAATGATCATTTATCTTTGTCTACCATTTCGAAAGGTAATGCTCATATTCAAAAGCGACTATATACATCGCTTGGTTCATGTCATGACTTTATTGTGGACACAGGCAGTATAGAGTCCATTATTTCATTCAAGAACTTGAAATCGTTAGATACGAACGTTGTGATACGACCCACTGATGTATCAATATTGGGGATTACTGGACACAGACTGCCTATACGAGGATGTTGTGAATTGCTAATAAGAGATGATAATTCCTCATACATACCATGTGAATTCTTAGTTAGCGAAACGGGACTGTCAATACTGGGTTTAAAGAATTTGAAAAGGCTTAAAGTGGAGTTGTCTCTCCTAGTTTCTAAAGAAAATTCTGATGCTTTACTTAAAGATTCGATAGCCACGTGTGCTAAGTGCAGTGGAGGTATGAAAACTGCTATTGATTCTATTGCCGCCTCAACATTTAATGAGCTGGAGAGGGGAGTAGATACCTTTCTACTGCAATATAGAAATGCCAGACATTCAGTGACGAAAGAGACTCCATCAAAACTATTAAAAGGAAGAATTCTTCGGTGGAATATGAGATGTTTGGAGTCTGCAGAAGTTACATATTATCGTGGCAATGATCTTCGGCCATCCACGGGGATCGTTCTGAAGAATGTCGGGAAATCTATGGTGCGACTTCTAGATATCAATGACTTAAGTACACACAATCGACATGTTGATCAAATACAATTCCAAGAGCCAGGTGAGTCTGTTCCAATTTCGGTTGTTAATTCTAATACTAATGAGAGCATTCTAGATAATACAGAGCCATTATCCAATACACTGTCGGACAGACACAAGATGAATTTGAGAAGAAGACGTACAATTGATTACAGACATATACATTCCAATTTAAGCTGTGGCGGATGTGGTGTTTGAATGAACTAGTAACTTCTTGTTGTTGTTGAATGCTTGATTTCGACTTCTAAATACAATACATTCGTCTGTGCATATTTTAATTCTTGATACATATACTTCTAATTACTACACATACGTCTATTGGAATCGAATTGAACTGCCACGGTAGAAAATCCAATTACATATGGTGCATCGGCATCGTGACTTCAGAAGGTACTCGACGCCCTAACTCTTCTGACATTTTTCTACGGGATGCGGTGGCCAACTGCAAGCCCAACCCCGTTCCTTATCTGGACTTGGGGACGAAATTAGCCCCAGATCCTGCATATATAAGTCCTTGAGGACCGTGGATCTCCAGTTTTTTTAGGGTGCAATTTCACTGGAGATATGACTGATTGTTGTGATATGATATATTGTTTCGTTTGCTTGCAGTGTTTACAGTAAGGACTGTAGTCTAGGTAATCCTTCTGATGTAACTTTTGGAAACTTGGCCAACCAATATTTAGATAACCCTGACGAAATTTGGCGGTCTTACGTTTAGTGGCTATGGTTCTTATGTCAAGACGACACTATGATCGCTATTTGAGAAGTTTATGCTCATCTACATAGTGATTAGCAATTATAGGCGATAACTAGTGAAAATAAATCCGAAATTTATGTATGTCTTATACGACTGTTAAAATATTGGGTACACTAAGCACCATGCATGCAATAAATGAGTGAAAACGTTTTGGTGGTTCGAATGGAAACCAGGAGATTTGCGATCCGCTCATTTCTTTGGAAGGTTTCAGATAGTCTGTGCCGTAGTGAAAATTCAGAAAACAAATGATAATATTAAAGAAGTTTGTTGTTTCATTTTGGTTTGAGTGACAACTATGTTAGGCAGAGCAAGCCTCGACTCTAGGGGTTCTGATGACAAATGCAATAAGCTGAAAATGTCTTCCACAAGAATTATTTCTCACCCGCCCAATTAGTGACATTTCTGTTACTAGTCCGTATCCCATTCCATCTGCATGGAGTAGTTAATAGAGAACCGGTTATTGAGTGAGCTATCCACACTTAAGGATGCATCAATGGTAAATATACGTGAGGCGACGAATTTGTTGAACTAGCACATTAGTAACTTTCATTTTGCAGATAGCTGCGAACAACGGTCTGTCACATCGTGGTCACCAAGTAAGCTTCTGCGAAAATGAACCAGGCCCTAATATCATCATTCAAGAATGGAATATGTTATAAGGTGTGGGACAGCGAGTTTTTATTTTTGAAAGCATGTGACTATAATTACATTTAAAGTTACGACAAGTAACAGACCCATAGTTTATCGTTTGGAGTATAAGGTCTTGTTGTCGCTGACAACTAGATATATCAAGAACGTGCGTTACCTAACAACTCTGCTTTCAAGTGACTCAATTAACATATGACTAAACACTAGAAGAGAACCAACACAAGCTATTTACATCCTGTACTCAGTACAAAGTTTTGGGCCAGAAAACTAAGAGATAACAGCTCATTAACCAGAGATAAACGCCCTCAATTGTTTTTAAATTTATGCAGAGAATAGTTATCTGCCGCTACTCCAAACGAATGACTGGACTAGTTACAACTAAGGTTAGTAAATTTTCCAGAGACTTCTAAGCAAAGATGAATACATTCAACAGTCTAAATATTTTCATCACCAAGTCTTTAATCATTCCAAGTATAACGTCGTTTTAATAAAGTAGAAGTCTAATGTGACGGCCGAGTTATTTTACTGCTTAATTGAACATGGAGATCACCTACTTATCTAAAACCTATTATGATTTTTCGCGTTACAATTATCAAACTATCTTGGTTAGTATTTTGTGCGTTTTCCTGTAAAGATACATTTAGATATATCATCTGGTTTTTCGAGCTTGTTAATTATCTGTCATTTTTATTTTTATGATAATTAATAGTATTTGTTTCTTGAAGTTCTTCATCATCTAAATTGATTTAAGCAACCTTCCATAAGTTCTTGAAGAAATACCTAATACTTCCCCAGGGACTTGAAAAAAGACAGCACACTGGTTGATTTAAGTTCCTTGTGATGATCTTTATTTCACGTAATCAGGTTCCTACAGGGAGGTACCGATAAACTGTTACTTTGCATTCTGCTTGCAGCCGATTTCGGAAACCTAACGCAATTTTTCGACCTCCTTTATAGAAACGCTTGCAAACGCAAGCGTTCTTTTGCAAAATCACGAAAAGACTGATGTATTATTAAGTGCATATTAAAATGAATGAAAAACACGTTTGCATTTTTAAGGATTAGTTTGTAATTATATATATATATATATATATATATATATATATATATATATATATATTTGAAATGCATTTTTCGGTGGTCCCGTAAAAGTGTCATTAGAAGTGTTATAAAGAAAAAGGAAAGTTACCTATCAGCTGAAGCGTATAAAAATTATACAGTGAGTAAAAATCTCAAGACGGACCTTTAACTGTAGTTAATAAACACATGCACAAATATCCTATATAACGCCTACAATCCAAGCCTTTATTATCCTTGGATCTTCATCGGCGTCTATTCAGTTTACCTCTTGCATCATGTCAGAAGACCTGGTTCGCGACATCCACCGCTTGTTGTTTTTCTTGGCATAAAAAGTTTCTGTTCATACGACTGTGCTACACTGGGTTTTTGGGTTTTTACCAAAGTTGGGATTTTGAGACAAGTGAAGCGTCTTAGAAGCAGTTTATCTAAAGAAAGTTAATTGTATTCCTCCGAAAACCATTTGATTTCTCATCTTATTAGTGACCCTTGACTACTCGGCGTAACTGGGGTTGCATGTGTACAAGCAAAGTAAATTTGTTTTGCACAATAATATAAGGGGAAATTTTTATCACCACTGATGCTAATGCCTGTTGCGAAGCGTCTTCGAGACCATGCAATCAACCAATCAACAGTAACATAGAACTTCGTACATACGTACGTACATAAGTTTAAGTTGCCGTACCACATTAGCACAGAGATGTAATTGTTAATTAAAATCCCGTGGTAGTAGAGGTAGTAAAGATATTAGCAGTAATCGCAGAAATTAGGGTTAGAAGATATTATTAATGAAGTAGTATCTAGTGAAATGAACTTAAAAAGAAAAAGATAAAGTGATGAATTAAGAAGATTAGGATTTGAGAGAACACAAAGAATAAATGCACCTGCACCATTGCAAACGGTCTTAAACCATGTCATTCATATCCTCTAACCATCGATTACTATCATCTCGCGGACCCTAACCAGTTAGTCGACACCTACCGACATGACTCAGTTCACTTGTCATTGACTTCATGGTCGAGATCATTCATTCTGTCACCGTCCGATCTGGAGTAAATATATTTGCAAACGCCTTCGGAAATACTTCAATGTACATCCAAACTTGGGCAGCCCTCAAATTTACCTTGATGTTTACTCTGCTCATTGATTGGTGACCAAAGAAATATGTCATGACAAGAAGTAAAATTCAGTAAACTACAATTTATCCGATACTTGGGTGATATAGTTTGCTCCTGATGTTTGTTCCCAGGTCCGTCACCTGATGTTATCGTCGGTTGTCACCTCATCCAAAAAGTTTATATGTATCATCTAAACAGTTCTCATTGCCAAGCCATTGAAAAAATTCAATGAATCACTTCAAAAACAAGACAAACTTTATTAAACCTGCCGTATTTTTTCATATCATTCCACCGTTTCAGCAGCATCTGCTGAACTTATGGCTGCTCAGAAACACATGCTATCTAGCTTTAAGCATCATAAAGAGTGACTTCACCTTTAACGTAGTCTGATGAAAATCCTAGGCAGTCATCATGAGCAGTGGTGGCTAGCGAAAGCTAAATAAATGGGAAAGGCAACAGTGATAGCTGACAGTAGTCAGCTGTTCAAACTTATCAAGTAAATAGGTTATAGAAATCCGGTCGTTAGTGAAACTCTCTCGGAAAGTGATAGAATTATTATTCACGCAACCCAGCAGATGAGACTAATAGCAGAATACTTTAGAAGACAACTCTACTGGTCTTCAAACACACTTCAGCTACCCACTATTTCCAAACAAGCTAAATGGAAAATTGAAATCATTCTGAAAACCCTTAATGAGGTGGAAAGGCTACAGACAATTTAAAGCAAGTAAGAGTGACAAGACTTGATGAATTAACCTCTGAGATTTTAGGGTGGTGGCCCAGTTTTAGTAGTTAGATTAACTAAGATCTTAGTCAGAATCCTGGACATGGACATAATCCCATCTGACTAGTCTCGACAGCCGGTCGTCTTACTCTGTAGGAAAGAACAAGTGTCCTCTTGCTAAAATTACACAGCAACAGTTTAACCAATAAAAAGTCTAAGATATTAGCTTTAATAATGCTTTGGCGCCAGAATAAGGCTCATGAAGAACGTACTCAAGAAGGCCGGGGTGGTTTCATACCTGGACGTGGATCTTTAGACTAAATATTCACACTTCGACAGGTCCTAGAATATAGACACACCTTCCCACATCCGTATTTCCTGACCTTAAAACAACATTTGACTCTAGGTTCCGAGCTTCTCTGGCTGTGTCTGTGATTGAAACGTAAGCTGAAGCAGTACATTAACCTTGTACAGGCTTTTTACTCAAATACTGTTGGTCGAGTCAGAACGTATGGCGAACTGCCATCTGAATTGATTATCTAAATAGTATTCGTCAACGTGGTTCGCCTTCTCGTGCCATGGACATGGTTTTAGAGTTAATACTTTCATCCTCTGAACTTTCAAGGGGTCACGTTCTAAAAAGGAATTCCTTCTGTTGACTTATAATACGTAGGTGACATTGTTCTGTTTTCTTAAAACGCTGACTAATTTAAGAGTATGCTGACCTCCTTAAGTAACGACGAAAGCATGTTTGCGATGCGATTCTCACTCTCCTAATGTTAAATGTTGTTTCCGAATCGACTTGCGTCAGTGCATGAGTTAGTGAATGAAAGTAAAGTATTTTAGTGTATCAGCTGCTCCAGTTATCTTTGGAGTCTCATCAGTCCTGATTGTCTGGTGTCCTACGAAATCTCGGCACTGATACGAATGACTTAACTGGCTCTTGTCAACTTGCATTACTTGTAGTGTAGACGAGATATCCGTCTGCCAATCTTAGGAGGATCTTACTTTATGGCAGTCTGCTCCGTCCGTCTTTACGGTTGTAGGATAAGGGCTATTAAAAATGAAGAATATATTTGTAGGTTACTAGTATTCCACTATAGGTTTCACCAAGGTATTGCTCGTGTATTCTTGGACCACCGAGTAAATAATATGTGACTTAGGAATAGGATACTAGGTAAGGATGACAAATCATATGATGAGTGAATAAGTCTCCATAAGCTCAGGTGGTCAGTCAAATACTGCGTATGCCCATCCACCAGCTCCTTTGACGAGCTGTCTGGTGAGGAAGTAGGTTGAAAGAAAGCTAGGAATGGCCAAACTATGAAGTAACATCAGTCCATGAAGTCATTGATGATCGAACTGAGCCATGTTAACAAGTATAGACTATGTGATCAGGATCCTCATGATAACCGTAACTGGTGGTTAGAAACTTTGAATGACGTGGCTTAAAATCATATAAAATTGTTCAGGTGTATCCATTCGTTGTCTTCCCCCAAATTTTAGCCTCTCAATTCATCATCGTTTCTTTTATATTTATTTCACTTTTTTATATTTTCTTGTATCATATCTTTGATGCTTAGTCTTTCTCATTCACACTGACACTGCTAATACCTCTAATACTCTGGAATTCTGCCTGACTTTCATTTGTGTGCTAATGGGACATGCTTGTGAAGATGAATCCTAAGAATAAAGCATTCTGCCAGTGTTCTTGCTCATTTGTTCATGTGAAGCCAAGACGGCTAGTCATGATAACCGTGAATGTCTATTTCACGACTTTGTCTCCTAATTACTTTTGCGAATGACGTTGAGTATTTGAATTATGTGGCTCCGTAGAGAGAATTAACAAAATTTAGCGATCTTGAATATTCATAACAAAAATGTAACACTACTTCAAATTCGTCACACTCCTGTTAAAATGAATGTGTAAAGTTCTGTTTTTATATTTTGACTGTCACCCACAGAACATGTAAATTGTTAGATTCCGACAGCCTTTTTCACCTTGTTTTGTGCTTAATGTATATGAAATAGATTTTAAGCCAATTATCTTAAGTGTTCGTTCGATACTCCTAATGTTAAGTGATTGAAAAGGTTTTACACGAGTGTTTATTTAGATGATAACATCAGTGACAAATGTTTTGTAACTAAAACTGCTGTAAAACTTAGACGTCTGGCTAATATTTTGTTTTTATTGTACTTTTTTCTAAAGATTTGATTTAAGGAGCATTTTTACTGAAATTTAAGTTCTTTCATGGAGGTATCCTCGTCTACAAACAGCTACTTCTCGTGGGCTTTGGAATTGTTTGGAATTTTATCATTATATTCATTACTCATAATTCCTTTTGTTTTACTGAGTAACTACTTCAGGAACAGATATAAATTGCATATGTCCAACAGTAAGTTTACTTGACATGAAGTAACTTATTAATTCGCTAATATTAAAGACTCCCATTGTCAAAATTCAGAAAACATAAAAGAAATAATATCGTCGCCAGGCTTTACTCTAATATTCATGAATATTTATACAAAAATAATAAATCTATCAAGGCAATTTATGAGTCAGTGATCACAACGAATTTGTTTATCGAACTACGCATGATTGGTAAAAGTATAGGTTAATGGTGGGAAGACAGGTGTACGTTATATACATCCGGTATAATTTAGTAAATATAGGAATTATGAGATCCATGATCACTGTCAAGACCTTTAGTTAATTATTAATTTGATAGTTTTAAGATTATGTTATGTCCATAACGTTGAATAACAAATTTTTGAGATCTTAATCGGGGAGCTAAACGCACGTAAATGGTTTGGTTGTGCTAAAGACATTTTCAGCAACCTGCTGTTTGGACTAGCTAGTACACCATAATCTTACTAACGTGTGAAAATGTTTACCTACCATACAAATTTTCCCTGAACGATACCTGAATCTGAGACGGTATTTGAAGCTAATTTGTTTGTTATGAGTACGAGTTCTGTCCCAGTTTTTCGCGAACGAGTAATTTCATCTGTTTTTATGCTTTTCACAGATACCACGGATTCTTGTCATGCCAAGGCAATGTACATATTTTTCATACCTGACGTGGAAGATGTTCAAAATACGGCAGGCCTACCTATTCCGATAGTTATGCCTACAACTGAGCATCGAGCGAATACAAAGCTGGCATTATGTTTGCAGTGCATTAGTTCCTATCTACATTTAAATCGTAATGCAACATCCCGGAGTTTAAAACAATACTATTTATTATTAGCATTTTGCTTTTTGGGTCTTCAATCATCCTACTTGTTATGGGGAGTATTGCAGGTGGGGTTTCTAGAGTACTTGATATAAAATGCTGTATACTTATCCATTCGGCACTTCAGAACAAGTTCTGACAAACAACTACGTCCTTTATATATATATATATATATATATATATATATATATATATATATATATTGTGAATGATGGTGGGTTTTTACCACAAGCAAGCATATTATATTGACGGTTGTCTTCAGTCAGTGGCACTGAAATTTAAATTTATTAACTTACCTCAACATGTTGATACTGGTACAAATGAATTCCAAAATAAATATTTTCCCAAATAATTGGATGAAATTGTAGAGAGAGATTAAGGAGGGTGGGTATAGACAAAATATAATTATCCAGGATCCTGATGGAACAAATAGCATATGAACCTATTGTCGGTCACCGGCTACCATGGAATTGCATATCCTTATATTGTCTCACTAACTCGTGGATTAGACTCCGGGTATAGCCCCTTAAGTAGACCACCTGCTTCAGTTAAGGAATTCGGTCAGTATCTCAGCTCACTCACAAATTCAGTAATTTGTGTGGTGCGAAAAATATTTAGATATTCTTTTGTATTAATGTTTATTTGCTCCAATAAAATTAATTATATGAAGAAGTGTTTGATGTTTCATTAGCTAAGTGCCAGATAAAGTATTTGTGATGCTGCTTGAGTAGGATCAGTGGTAGTGAAGTTTGTTCTTCGTGCTATGAGAATTCCTCGTCGTATGGATTCATCTGTCTAACTTCAATCAACCCACAATATTGGGACACAAGCCCCCATCGTATTCAGTGGATAACTTCCTAACACTAACACGGTTGGACTGTATTGGTCACATCTGCTCACTAGAACTCCGAGAATTCCTAATTGAAGTTAGTCACTAGTGAGCACATAATAATTATCAGTTTGTGGTTGCAGAAATTATTCAGTTTTATTGATGTTACCGATCACATTATGTTAGACAACCATGGAAAACGTCAAAACATAGGATAACCGTTTCGTTCTAGTTTTGGAATTCTCAGCAGTAGTCATCCACGACCTCGCAACTGGGAATCTCTCACACTATGATTTATGTTCACATATCAATTTGATCTTGATTCTTACTATGTCGAATAGTTATGTGTTCAATTATTGATTTCATCACTCTTATATAACCCCTTTTATGTTTGTTATGATTACTAGTAATTAACACTTATTCTGCATTCTGCACTAGTATATTTCAACATACAAATACGTATCAATCTTAACTACATTTACTTACACAATTAATGTTATTCTTCTCGTAGTTAGGAATTTTCGGGTTCCGGTTCGAATATCAATTTAAACTTTATAGACTGAAGCATGTTAAATATTTGTTCTTAATTATAATAATAATTGCAGTTTTAAGCTCTATATGGTTGATGAGAGGTTGCGAAATTAAATGAATTCATTTTATCTTTCAAATCTTGTGTTTATTGCTCAGTTTCAGTCTATCAACAGACCTAATTACATTTAGCATATGTAAGATGATCCTGTTGAATTAGTAAATGTTATTTATACATTTCTAGCATCTATTTAAAAGAAATATTTATGCATCTCTACGATAATATCTGGTGACGGACTCTTTAAATGAGATTATAAGATCTTTATTTGATTTAATATTAGTGCTTAGTCAAATTATTTTACTGAATAGACATTAGAAAAAGCAACAGGTTACTAAGCTTTGACAAGTAAATAGCGATGTTGGTACTTTAAGCTATGAGTTTGAAGTCTTTCAGAAAGAATTCCTATAAGAAATACAAAAAGTGAATGATTGTTGGAATCATATTGTTGTGCTTAATATTTCCTATTGATTTGTCTAAAATTTATTTTTCTTCATTGCTTGAGGTTCAGTTATCTTCAATTTTTCATAGGAACGAATTATGACCAAAATGTATGACAAAGAGAGGTTTCAAAAGTCACAGTATCTTGTTTTCTGTAATCGTGCAATGGCGTTAATTATTTTAATACCTCTACACTTCCTACATGTAGGGTTACTTGTTAACCCTTGGAAGAGCGGTCGAAAAGCTCCCTTCATCGAGTTTGCATATGCTTCTATTAGTAATGTAATCAGTAGCTGGTGTCAGTATGAAGCCCTTATTTATATTTCTTTTCCTAGTCAGGTAAGTTATTCAAATATTGTTTAATTTTTTCATCGATATGTGTTTTACAAATTTTCTGTTGTGGTAATGGCTCACTTTTGTGGATACTAGGTTTCGTTTAGTTATATAATACAGGGAACCAGTCTGCTTTTAAAAATCTTGCGTTTTCTTTGGCCACAATAAGCTTCTCTTTAGGATTTACTACATTCCTATTCTACCTGTTTGTTTACTCTAATAGTAAAGATTATTTTGAGTATTTTACCACGTCGAAGTTAAAAAAGTAAAAGTAACTATTTTTGATTTAACCCACTGTTGAAAATTGAGAATATTCCTTCCTTAGCTCATCACCGAAAGCATCAATAACATTGTGAGATGCTTAAACAATTATGGATAAAACTCATAATAAATTCGTTGTAATATTGTTGTGATTGATATAATTCTGGTCTACAACATGTATAATAGTAGATAATTGTAATACAAACGCCGATCTAATGGCTAGCGTACGATGACACTAGCGATGAAAACTGCATGTCAGGTGGTACTTTTCAAAAGTAAATTCAAAGCTTCAAGAAATCATAATGAAGTAATGGTAAACCACGGTAAACATAATATTTTACAAAACAAAGACCAACAAGAATAGGTATCATTTACTTGCCATTACCATATCACAATAGTAATTATTTTTCTCATGTACGGGTCCAAGTCCTCACACCTCACGTCAGCACAGCAACGAAATGAACTCAACGACTAGAGAAGGTCAAGAAATAATATCATTTATAACAGGAATTTAAACATAATCAATACTAGTCAACTCCGCCAGTATAACCTTCGGGGCTACTGCCGGTCCCAAGCCCGGATAAAGGAGGAGGGTTAGACATGTGGTTGGCGACTCCATTCCGTCGAAATCTAACTTGCCAAAAAAACGCTAACCAGAAAAAATAATTCAAACCATCTTAACTCTGCCCTGGGAGTTGGAAGAAGAATTATGACGTCGCGTGATGAAAGCCAAGTTCCCTCGGAAGTCACGGGGCCAATGCCTCTTTTGACAACCAGAGCAACCATTTTTTTAGGTACATGGAACGTTCGTACATTGTGGGAGACTGGATGACTATTTCAAGTTGCGGCAGAAATGAAACGATACAACCTCGAGGTGCTTGGAATCAGTGAAACGCATTGGACAAAAGTAGGACAACTGAGACTAGCTTCAGGGGAACTGCTGTTATACTCTGGTCATGAAGAGGAAAACGCTTCACATACACAAGGAGTTGCACTGATGCTGTCCAAACATGCACAAAAAGCACTGATAGGATGGGAATCTCATGGACCAAGGATAATTAAAGCATCCTTCAAAACAAAGAAAGAGGACATTACAATGAACGTCATCCAATGTTATGCACCAACCAATGACTATAATGACGACGTTAAAGATCAATTCTACGAAAGGCTACAGTCAATCGTCGATAGATGCTCACCAAAGGATTTGACGATTCTTATGGGAGACCTGAATGCCAAGGTTGGAATGGACAACACTGGATATGAAGACATCATGGGACGACATGGACTAGGAGAAAGAAACGAAAACGGTGAGAAATTCGCAAACCTATGTGCCTTCAACAAACTGGTCATCGGTGGCACAATATTCCCGCACAAACGCATTCACAAAGCCACATGGATTTCACCGGACCACACTACTCAAAACCAAATTGACCATATCTGTATCAACAAAACGTTCAGAAGGACTATGGAGGATGTGACAACCAGGAGAGGAGCTGATATAGCATCCGATCACCATTTGCCAAAATGAAACTGAAACTGAAGAAGCACTGGACAACGGGACAGTCAACATCACAGAAGTTTACTACGGCCTTTCTTCGGGATACTGTAAAGCTCAACGAATTTAGGATAGCCCTCACCAATAGGTTACAGACCTTTCAGGATCTACTCAATGGAGAGGACGCAACATTGGAGAACAGTTGGAAAGGGATTAAGGAGGCAATCACTTCAACATGTCACGAAGTTCTGGGCCACAAGAAGTACCATCACAAGGAATGGATCTCTGTTGATACTCTTGAAAAAATTGAAGAAAGGAGGAACAAGAAGGCAGCAATCAATGTCAGCCGAACAAGAGCAGAGAAAGTTACCGCACAAGCTGCATACACGGAAGCAAACAGACAAATGAAGAAGAGCATCAGAGCTGACAAACGAAAATATGTTGATGATCTAACAATGACGGCGAAAAGGCTGCAAGAGACGGAAACTTGAGGCAGATGTACGAAACAACAAAGAAGCTGGCCGCAAACTATCGTAAACCAGAACGACCAGTGAAAAGCAAGGAAGGGAAAATAATCAGCAACACTGAACAACAGCGAAATAGGTGGGTAGAGCACTTTCAGGAACTCCTGAATCGACCAGCTCCACTGAACCCACCCAACATCGAAGCAGCATCCACGGACCTCCCAATTGAGGAGATCAGTACGGTCATCAGACAAATCAAGAGCAGCAAAGCAGCAGGACCAGACAACATTCCAGCAGAGGCAATGAAAGCAGATGTAGAAGCAACTGCGAAAATATTCCACATCCTCTTCAAGAAGATTTGGGATGAGGAACAAGTACCATCAGATTGGAAAGAAGGATACCTGATCAAAATACCAAAAAAGGCGATCTCAGCAAGTTTGAGAACTACAGAGGCATCACTCTTCTTTCAACACCAGGCAAAGTCTTCAACTGGGTATTGTTGAACGGAATGAAGGGCTTCGTAGACGCTCAACTTCGAGATCAACAGGCCGGATTTCGTAAGGGTCGATCATGGATGTATTATATTAAAATATAGAAAAATCATTCATATAATGGCTTATTCTGGTAATAATTGTTGTAAAACTTGCAACATACAATTTACTATCTTGAGACAGGAAACAACAACTAATCACTGTACAAACTTATTTCAACTTCATTTGTAAATTCAAGTTATAAGTTATGTATATATACATATATATATATATATATATATATATATATATATATATATATATGCCTTTAATTTTCATTTCATTGTCAGGTTATTCTCAAAGCTTGCAAGATTTTACCTGTGATGTTTATGGGTAGATTTATTCAAAAAAAATTGTATAGTTGGCAAGAGTATTTTACAGCTGGTAAGTAATTTTATATAAGTATTTAATTTTAGTGTTGTTGTTAAATTGTATTTTACTAACATGATTATGTTCGAAATCTCAAATTAACGGGTTTTGTTTCAAACGATATAAGAGTATCATTGTTTACTGTGAATTGTTAACAAACAGACAAATACAACGCAGAACTTCGTACGTAAGTACATCAGTTCAGGTTGCCATACCACATCAGCACAGAGACTCAACTGTCAGTTCAAATCCTAGAGTGATAGAGATAGTAGAAGTGTTAGCAGTAATGGAGAAGATTAGGGAGCAAAGATATGATTCAAAAAGTATAATTCAGTGAGATAAATTTAGAAGGAGAAAGATGAAGATGATGAGGAATTCAGAAGCTTAGAATTAGAGAGAACACAAAGAGTGGATGCACCTGCGCCATCGCAAACGATTCTGAGCCATGTCGTTCAAGGTCTCTAACCATCGGTGACTTTCGTCTCACGGACCCCAACCAGGTAGCCTACATCTACCAACATGAATCAGTCCACTTGTCAGTGACTTCATGGATTCGTGCCATGTTTTGGTTTGGCCGCCCCTAGCTTTCTTCCAACCTACTCCTACAACACAAAACATAGCTTGTCGCGGCAGTCGGTGATTAGGCAATTGTAACACATGTCCCAACCACCTCAAATGATGAAGTTTCAGTGCTTCATCTATCGATTTGCCATCCCTACCTACATGTTGGATCTTTTAATGTACGGACATTATGTCAAATAGGGCATCAGGCCTCCTTATCTAGGACATTAGAATCTCTTTCAATCGATGTATGCTGCGTCTCGGAAACGCATATGCAGAATCCTAGTGAAATCATTAATTTGATTTCACCTTATCAAATCAAAGAAGCAGCCCAATTTACTCTTCGTGTGAATTGTTGAAGTGATTATTTATTAGTAATCGTTTGTGTTATCTTTTAATCATATGCTGATTCTGGTATCTAACTTTGAATTTCGTTATTCATAAATGAACCAACTCGTGAAGATGAGCTAGATTACAGTTATTTGTATTAGATTCTTACATACATAGAAGACAGACAATTGGTATTTATACACTGTGTTGTGTTTGATATGGAGTTTGTATCACCTAAAGAATTCGTGTCAGCTAATTAACAGGTGAAAACATCGATGAAGTTGTTTTAGTATAGTAAAATTTCCCATTTTGCCATTGAGTGCAGAAAACAAATAAAGTTGAAAAATTTCATTTCACTTATTTTTCCATCATGGCTCTATACAATAATGGCTTAATACTCATCGAGGACAGAGAATTAGAATCTGAGAGAACACAAAGAATGGATGCACATACGCTATTGCCAATGGATTTTAGCCATGTCGTTTAAGGTCTCTAACCATCGGTTACCCCAACCAGGTAGTCTAGACTTACCAACATGAATCAGTCCACTTGTCCGTGACTTAATGGATTTGTGACATGTTTTGATTTGGTCACCTACTGCTACACCACAGAACATTTCTCCTCAAGGCAGTAAGTGGTTGGGCATTCGTAACACATGTCCCAACCAACTCAACTGATAAAATTTCAATAGTTCATCTATTGATTTCCCATCCCTACCTAGTACTCGTTTCATAGCAACAGCTTTGCTTACTCGGTTATCCCAGGATAAACGAACAACGCTTCAGAGACACCTGTGATTGAATACCAATAACCTACGAATACCCCCACTTCTTACTGGTGATGTTTCAAACCGTAGAATAAGACAGAGCGAACCTCTGCGCAGTACCCTCGTCTTATGGTTAGCAAACGGATATCTAACCTACGCCATAAGTGACACAAGTTGGCAAAAGTCAGTCGAGCCTTCCGTATCCGTGCAGAGATTTCGTCAGTCACCAGGCCATCAGCACTGATGAGACTCCCAACATAAGTGAAGCGGTCAGCACGCTCAACTACTTCACTTCCTATCACTAGTTCAGGTTTTGACGTATGGCAACACTGAAACAACATTTTTCATTTCGAGAAGGAAAATCGAAACCTGAAAATGCTTACATTGTTGCTTGAGATGGTGAGAAGACTCTGAATTTTTTCAGGGTCTTCACCAAGTGAAACTATGTCATCGGAGTGTTCTAAGTCAACAAATGAATTTTCTGGTAGATGGTCAACTCCATAGAAGTCACAGGTTAAAAGTGCTGTCTCTATGAGCATACCAGTGACTAATTTGAGTGGGGATGGAGATATGGGACAACCTTGACGAACACTACTTGAAGTAATGAATTTCGATTACAGTTCGCCATAAGCTTTGACTTGACTAGAAGTGTTCTAGTTGGTAGCTTGTGTTAGGTTAATATACTTGTTTGGTACACCTCTCAATGACAGAATCTGCCCATTATACTTTGTATGATAGATTTCAAGTTTCAGTGTTCTCTTTTCTCCATTTGTGCCAATTTTCTTTTCTTTAACTATTGATCATGAACTGACAGCAAAAATTCACGTCAATTGAATTTACTACAATCTTTAATTGTTCAGGTAAAAATAACAACAAAACCTTCTTATGCTGTAATAACAGCAAATATTTCAACTTATTTAATTTTATACACTAACAATTATCATTTTATATTTTATCGTAGAATAATGCATAATACTATCTATCTCATATTGTATTCATTTTTTATTAATGAAATCTGTTATTTGTATCATATTGTAATATAAAATTCTCAATTGCCTTACTATTTCATTTAAATACTTTTTATTCTTTCCGTGTTTTTTTTTCTATCTAAATACAAACAAAAAATTTCAGCTATTATTTGTTCAGGTATGGTTATGTTTTTTTACACTGATCCTGAACAATCTCAACTGTCCAAAGAAAATACTAATAATACTCAAATGCTACTAACATTTAGTGGATATATATTGGTCATTGGCTATATTATTAGTGATTCCTTCACATCAAATTGGCAAGATTATATGTTTCAAACATATAAACTCACTTCTTTACAAGTTAGTGAACTGATTAAAGTTTTTGTAGAAAAAATGTTTCCTTTTTCTGCATATTTTTTAGAAGATTGTACAATATAGCTCAATATTTTATCAATAAGTATTGATTATTTCTATTTAATTAATTTAATTAATTAATTTAATTAATTTTCTCCAGAAAAAGGCCACTATAACACTATATCCCAACGTTCTGAGTGCGAAAAGAGATTAAAGTGAAAGTCACAACTTCAGATGAAATCCTTAGCAAAAATAATGGCCTTACGTGTAATACTAAATAAATGGAAGAATGTTTAAAATGCTCGATATCGTACACTTAATGAACATGGAAAAACATGCGCTACAGAATCACAGACACATATCCTATCTCTAAGACTTTTACTTCACGTTATTTAAGAAAGACAGTTATAAAACCCTGAACATAATGCGAAACTTTGTAGTTTACACTCGTACTGCATTCCTATTTTAAGTTATAATTATCAATAAAAAGCAAAATCCGCTAGATAACATAAATTAACTAACCTTTCCGGATAACATTAAATTTTTCCTTGGTTCTGATTTGATGCTTTTCAACGCTGTGTTCACAACCCCCATTTATAAAATTTAATTCAAGCTAACAAAATTTCGTAGGAAACAAGAAAACATTTACTCACTACATAGAAGAAATGTAAAATATTTTTAAATTCAGACGTGTATCGTTTGCTAAAGAAATTCACTTACACACTAACAATTATCCATTTCAATAATTCTGTTTCAACAGTGAAATGAGTACCACTCTTCACAGTGTTTTAATGAATGCATAATAATAATATTAATAAATAAGAAATAACAGTAATAACAGTACTGTCACTCTCATCGTATTGAATATTTTAGATTTGCATCTGTCAGTGGACATTTGAATTTGTGATTATTGAAACTCACACATATAAACGCTTGTTTCTTACAAATATCAGTGGACTCAAAAAAATGAACATTTTATGTGCTAAACATTTGAAATTATCAAAATTATCCTGTCACTGACAAATAACACCCAGTTAAATTTCCCTTTTTGAAGCGTTTATTTCGGTTTTCAATAGCTTGTAGGTCTATAAGTTTCATCTGAAGATCATTATTAACTGTTATAGTGTCAAAAGAAAATCAAGGAGTCAACAAAGTAAACTGATTTAAACGCTTTACAATCTTCACTTATCCTTATACATTGTACTCTAGTTATTATATTCGTGAGCAGATTTCGGCAAGGCGGTTTGTGTTACTGCATGTTTGGAAATCCTTGTAGTCAAACTGTTCATGTTGCTTAAATAATAAGTTGAGTTTGATTTCAAAGATTTCTTTTCCAAAATATTTATGTTAAGTGCCTTATTCTCTTGAAAATAATTGAAAATTGCCTCAATTTCACTCGACCCTATTCATATTTCCAATTGGTTCTGTTTATATGGGATTTATTGGTAAATTGCAGTTGAAATCTTAGGTATAGATCACTTGCCACTGGCTTAGATACATGTTAATGATAATAATAACAATAATAATACATAGTATAGTGTAATATACATATATTATTGATTTATGGTTTTTTCATATTTATATCAATTGATGTACCGTTTTCTGTATCATTCTTTGTTTAGGTTAATAGGTCACTCTACTTAGTATCGTACTCTGTTGAAGGAATTTTAAGCAAATGAACAATGTTACCATTGCATTCACTTAACATAATAGATGTGATACATAAATTTCTCAACATATTTCATAAATTAAAGTTGATAAATTTAGTTTTTCTGATTTAAACTAATTTTGATTGAATTTCTACTAGTAATTGACAGCATAATAGCACACCTGATCAACTCAAAGTTTATTTGAATAATGTGAAAAATTTTCATTATCTCCATACAAATGTTGATGATGGCTGTTGTTTACAGTTGTAAAAGGTAAATTATCTTGAAACATTAGTAGCTTCGTTAAATTCGAACTAGTGCTCACCAATTTAATGGTTCGTGACCTGTTTCCAGTTTGGACGAATGATTGAGTATGCGATGAAATAAATCTTCCCTCCAATTTTTGTACAACATGCTTAGACAAACCCCGTTTGTGCTACAGTGGTAATAAAAAAAGCCGAACACAGTTTTGTGAATGCGTTTATTTGATGTGATCGTTCGCGCAGATAGACATGAGAATAAGGGGCGTAAAAGCAAAACAAGGCGAGGTAGGGAAAGTCAGTGAGCCAACTCAACGCTATAAGGCATGACTAAGTATTGATAGTCGGACAAAAAATTAGACTAGAAATGTATTAAGCAAAGTTAGCGACACACAAGCACACTCGAATAAAAACAACCATGATATAAACGAATAATTAACAAGGTCGAAAGGTATGTAAATAACTCAAGGAGAATAGATCGATCAAATTGTCCAAAGGCTGAGACAAGCCCTTTAGGCTCGATATATTTGTATACACTACAAAATGTTTACACTCTTCATCAATATCAATCATAAATCACTATATGCCAATTAATCAGCTATTAAGAACAATTTTATTTTACGGTCATTGAATCGATTTCATCTTTCATAAAATATTTAATAATTGATTAGATTGAAAGTAAATTACTTTCAATCTAATCAATTATTTAAAGGAACGGGATTTTGTTTTTATTGGAATCAAAGAAAAACCCGTATGTTTATAGATTTTTTTTAAACTTTGACGTAATGATCCACTCTTGTTTTTGTGGGTTAATTTTGTTTGATACAAATTATTTATAAAAGAACACAACAGTATTATGTAGTTTCCTTTACTACTATAGATTGTTGAACTCTCATTCAAACCACCTGCTTAACTGTAGTTTAGCATTTCATGTCATAGAAGTAAATGAATTGTGATAATCAATCATTTAGATACACAATGGTAAGCATCGGTTATTTTATGAGAGCTAGTAGCAGACACTACTTATCTTCCATAACTTCCACAGATAGATTCAGTTGCTGAGAAGTGTTTTGAAGTTATGTACATGATTATAACACCTAATATTTTTGCGAAACCCCTGAATACATAAGTCATACTTCATACTCATTTTACACCTACTCGCTTTTCATATTTGCGTAATTATTTCAAAGGCTCCATTCATTATGGTATGTCTGTTTAAAAAACGTGTTTTATAATGACTGGAGCTGTTGATGTTATGGTTATAATGCTAAGATTCTTAGTCTATTTAATTCTTAAACCAAACTCACATAATATAACGGCTAGTTATGCATTTTCGTGAATAGGTTTTTTACGTTGACTATAAATTGAATATTAAAGATTCCCATTGTGAAAATTAGAACAACACATATAAGCGAACAACATTGTTTTCGATTAGATCGTCATCAGGCTTTACTCTAATATACATGAATATTTATATGAAAATGTTGAACCAATCAAGCCAATTTGAGTGATAATCACAATGAAATGAAAAAGATTACGTATATGTATATTGAAAACAATGTTGTTCGCTTATATGTGTTGCTCTAATAAATTGAATAATTGATTCACATATATACAAAATATACTTGATGCTTCTTGAACTTATATATGTTTATAATTTACGGTTCATAAAACTTGTAATTCTTTCGTCTAGTCAATCAACTTTCAACTACTGAGTTACTCGCAAGGTTTCTACTTCACGACTTCTCATATTCAAAAGGATAGATATTATGATTAACTGTCGAACATCAGATGAAAATTTAAAATTGTATGTAAATCTAAAACTTCAACTTAGAGGCGTATAAACTAGTTAAGAGCCCAATAGTTGTTAAAGTGTATAAGTTTACTGCATATGCTGGAAAATTATTTTAGAACTGCATATAATATTGTCTACTGAACCATTCAAATAATTATCTTCACAATATGACTGATTGTTTTTCTCAATTCAAACTTCTTCATAGTGTAAACCTATACAAATCGGTCAATAATATTAATTATTAAATAATTAATTTCAGGTTAATGAGTTAAAAAGATTTTTAATAGATTTATAAGTTATTTTTCATAGTACTCCATTGACCAATCAATCTTATTTATATGTTATCATAAAACTAATAACCTTAGTATTGTTTAAGTTTTATGTATATGTATTAATGACCACTTGTTATGTAATAACGTCATTGCCTAACAATAGTTGTCAGATTGAATCAATCTTAATTTTTTATTCGATTATTTAAAATTAGTTATCTTAGTTGAAAGGATTAGTTTATTCCTTAATCTCTATTCCATTTGTCAAACACATCGATTATTAACACCGTACTTGTTTGTTTGCAAATGTACATATTTTCATATAATCAAGTTATGACATGTAAATTTTATATATTCATAACATTCTTCCATACTGCTGTAGAGCTAGTTGTTTAAAATTTTTATCTCCATAACTTACAGCACCATACCTATCGACTACAGTAGTTTTTTTTTCAGCTTATCAATCCAATACAATTTTATCAATATACTATGCAAATTATTGTGACCTTCTTTTGTTTCATGAAAATAAATTCCAATAGATGAGTTAAAAATGTGCTAGTGTGTGTACTCGTGTACATAGATATGTGTATTACTTCGTATACACTCTATTCTTACCGAGAGCTTCGTTGTAACATGTAGCTAGTAGTAAAATGTACACAAATAGTAGATTATTTAACGCATAAATTATTAGGCATTAAAACAGCTCAGTTTTTCACATATACTCTATGTACAAAAGTTGATTGACATTTGCTTAATAAATCAGTTATATTATCTTGAATACTTTACATTCTGTATAAATAGTAAACTATTTTAAATGGTCTCAGCATTTTGTTTGATGCTATCAAATAAAACATTCAGTCTCTCTCTCATAAAGTAGATTCGTTGAGGATAAACATTGTGAGAACATTATTGAATTATTTGTCATGATTAACGGCCAAAGACATTTTATTACACCAAACTCGTATTATTCTTTAGTTGGAACGCAGTTTCTCTTCACGAACTAATATCATTTAGAAAATAATTAAAACCGGGGATCACTATAGTTTCCTAAATCGCACACACATAAACCCATTTTTGACCGAACTTAGAACCTTCAGAATATGCAATGAGCATGTTACTAATAGATTATATCAGCTCTATCCCAATGACCTACACGTAGTAACATGATAGTGCAACTGACGGCACTTATTTCACTTATCAGCTATCCATACTTTTCAAGTCAGTTCAATTTTATTTATTGAACTAATAGTTGCATATATATAAGATTTTGAATAGCATGGGCCAAGAAAAATATCAGTTTACTTTATCTACAGATTTTTTGAATGGTATCAAAATATACCACACAAAAAAAGTAATCCCCTACTGGTTTATCCTTCAGAATATCGAACAAATCTGTTGTTTGACTGTTTATATGGCTGACCGATTGTTCGAATATGGAAATTTTCAATTTTAAAACTATATAGTATCATATAAATGCTTACTTGACGTGTTAAAGGAAATTTCAGCTTTTTGAATGTATGTTCTGGTAATCACTTTAAAACGTCTAAACGTAATATTCAGCATCTGTACACTCTTGTCAAACATCGGAAATAGACTTTTGATGGCGTTTTGCAATAAATTACTTGTTTTTACTTATATGTTGATTTATTCCCCAACAAACTCTTCTACCATTTCGTTATATGTCTATATTCTAGGTAATGGCTGGTGTCAATATTTGGTCTTCATTACTCACTTTAATCTCATTGATTGGACATGGCGATCTGATGTCATGCATACTATTTGGATTTAATCATCCTAAGTTTATTCTTGATGTTTTAACATCATCATTATGTTCAGCATTTGGTCAATTGTTCATTTTTCTAACTTTATCTCAATTCGGTGCGGCAACATTTGTAATGATCATGACATTAAGACTTGGCTTATCAATGATACTTTCGTGTATTATTTTCTCGCATGAATTACACCCGATTGCAATATTTGGTGTAGCTATTGTTTTCTTTGGTTTATTTTTAAAAATGTTTTTACGTCACAAGAAACCTCTTCTATTGGAAAATTATGGTCTACCTGGTAGTAAGTGATGACTACCGATACATTTTTGTTTCCTGTACAAGTTATTCCTCTTCATTTCCGAATATTCATATCCTGTTTTAAATTTTGTCAAAAATTTCTTTATATTTGCATACTTGTTGTATTCTCTGTTTTAAAAATCAGAATTCTTTTGATTTGTGTAAATGCATATGGATATACCTGTGACGTATAAAATCTCTCATTTTAGGTTCACATCAAACAAGAAATACATTTGGTATTGTAACAGTTATTCTCTGTCTGTGATATTTTAGCTCACTACCAGATTAAAGTTTATGTTTTTTATACATATCCGGAAAGAAAAGCGTGGCGTCATTTTATTATATATTTTATCGTATTATTTTCCCCTTTCTACATATTTTCAAGGCAATTCTTTTAGGAAATTATACTTTGTAATATAGATGGGTTATTTCAAATTTTGTATGTCTTAGCTGAGATGTGTACACATATTTTTTTTAATCATTGTGATGCTCCTACAATTTACTTTCAGATTGTAATACTACTCCTACATTAAAAGCCAATCAGCAAGATTAACCTGTTTTACTGCTGTCAGATATTTTAGTCAGAAGTATTATCATCTATCAATGTAGCAAGTGTTTAAGTTACTGTGTCGTACTAGCCAGTGATTAATTGCATATGCAATTCATTTCCTCAGATATACGTAGATCGTTTGCATCACCCTGTCTAAATGTGATTCAACTCGAAAACTACTCCTTCTTAATTTTGTAAGAAACTTCAAGATGGTTTTCCTGCACCTTAATGACTTGTCGCGAGTGGTTTGATAATAAGATCGAATCGGATACTCTGTTTTCCGTGGTCTGAAGACATAAATTTTTCGTGACTGAAGAGTTTCAGATCGTTCGAAATTACGCTGAATGTTAAGAAAGGGAATGGTAAGATTACATAGGTCTGTAGTTACGTTTACTAACAACCGAGTTGTCTTTTCAGCAGAAAAAACTTCGGAGCTGAGGAGCGTGGTGATCTCCATTAAACAGACGCAGCTATTTTTTGACGGCATTATGTCAGACTTAGACGAGAAAGGCTTTTATATTCTGGGGAAGTTGCCTGAGAAAGCTTTCTTCAAAAGTTCAGTGGCTAACGACATCACTCGTGCATAATAACATTTCTAACTCCGAGCCCTTTTGAAAATCGATATTGAGAAACAGCTAGATCTGTCTTCGTCATTCACGTGGTGCTCACCTTTGAAGTTACCATGGATGTTCAGGGCTTGATAGCGCCTTTGTCTCTGACATCTTTCTAACCGAAAATACCAACCCCAATTAAACCAACAATCTGGAATGTAAGCAGTCGAAGGTTTTATGGAACGGTGGTTAGGATGAGTAGATCAAGCTTTCGAATTGTTGAGCTGGAATGCTTTGCACGGAGTACAAAATGGTGATCTTGTGTGTAATCATGACCGACGGGTGTGTTCAACTTATTTTGGGGAATTATTTACCGCTAGAGAATCAACTGAATTGAAAAGCAGTATCTGCTCTATGATATGAAAGCCCAAATTATAAAATGTGAATTTTATATGATGTCAAACTGCTTTTAAACTCAAAAAGAGATTTAAAAAATTACAGTTTCTTCATTTTAAATAAGTCTTCGTACAAGTTGAGTAACGCTTGTCGATCAGTTTGGAAGACATTCTTTAAATTCCACTAATATCGTAACGCTGAAATTAAGGATAGCTGTATATCGTTATTTTGAAGGAAAGACTGTCATGAATATGACCCAACCGTTTCCAACATATAATGATGTTTTCTCAAGCTAGTGTAAAACTACTAGTTTCCTTATTCTAGCTTCGTGGTATTTCAGTATGATTTCATATATTTAGTAATGTTCAATGGGTGGAAGTCTAGTCACTACAATAAACTAATTCTAGTCGTTTTTTGTATTTATTTATGGATTTGTGTGCTGAAATTCTAGTCAAGGCAGCCGGGTTCTGGATATGAGGTTCTAGTAAATTACCGGCCTGGTAACGTAATAGCCACTGATATCCAGAAACCCCACTGCCCTGAAACAAACCTAATTATTCAAATCACGGTACATACAAACAGCTGTCAAAAGATTAGAATTAGTGCAGCTGAATGGCTGGCCCATCATCTACTGGACGCTGCCAAGTACCTGGAACCCTAGCGAACGAACAAGAGTCGAGGGCAAAGGAATCAGTTGGCTTATACTAGCTCGTGAAGAAGATATTGGATGAGGTGAATTGATTGAACCATGGAAAATAATGATGAAAAATTGTGATGCTAGGCAGAATGCGGTTGCATCAAGAAATAAATCAGGTAACTAATTGGTGATGTAGATAGTGTGAGATCACCGAAGTGTACGAATAAAAAGGGAGGGAATAATAAGTAAGATATGAGCAAGGTAGGAGAGCATTCTAAGTGAAGGCATTTCGAAATGAGGACAAGAAGAAGTCACTCTAAGTAGCAAGTTGATGATTTTCTGGTAGGACGCTCGTGGTATAATGAGTTGGCGTACTTAAGATGTCTACCATTCTTATATCAAACCCTATGCTCTTCTAATTCAGCGAGAATAATATTGTATTGGAGTCCGCTTTAGTGTGATTTAATCTGTAAAAAATATAATAATAACTACAGATACACAAAAAGATAAACCTAATATACTTAAAGAGAGTGTGTAATAGGAGCGAACATCTAAGTAAGGTTGGGAAATAACGAAACTCTATATGTATTTGTGTATTTTCACACATACGGGTATAACCATAGCAGACCTATGCTGCGAGTCCACAACTTATGTTTGTCATCGTCGATTTGATAGTGTTCATTAAACAACCTTTATATATTGGCAGTTACTGAGAAACAATCCAAGACAAAAGTTCAGAATAAATTATAGTTCTAAGTTTAATTAGAGTCTATGAAAACTTATAGAATACTCTAAATTTCGGTTGCTGTCCATTCATGTACACACATGAGTGCACGGTGAGCAATATCTGGTCGCTCATTGTTGGGATGCAACGTGATGAAGGACTTGTAAGCCACTGTGGGCTACATGTTCAATCCACTAAGAACCCTCTGATCACTACATGAGGTTGTAGTAAATCCACTTTTATGAAGAGAACGCTATTGGTTTAATAGAAAAATTCATTATTATAACCAACTGTACCAGTGATTGTTTTAGTGATCTTTTCCTCACGGGGCAGAACAGTTACGACCCTTGACCGACTAACTTCGTGGTAATCCACGCCAATTAAAACTGAACGATACCTCGCGTACTGCATTTTCAGAGGTCGAAACGGCTTTAGCTCAAGCCTTACTCCTCGCTCTTCCTGACCCATAAGCCATGCTTAATATACCAGCTGATGCATCTGTTTTTCAATCAGAGCTGCAATGAAACAGAACATCCCTGAGAGTTGGCAAACCCTTGAATTTTACTCACGATACCTCACTTATGCGGGAAAGAGATATAGCGCTTTTGGTCGAGAACTGCTAGCAGCCTCCAGTGCCGTCAATCATTTCCTGCACGTTGTATAATGTCACTAATTCATCCTATTCACCGATCACAAGCCTCTAACGTATGCTCTGAATACCAAGTCTGATCTCTACTCACCAATGGAGTTCAGACATTTGAACTATACATCCCAGTTCACGACAGAACATCGTCACATTAAAGGCGAGTCGAACTATATTGCTAACGTCCTATCACGAATCCAACTGAATGCAGTTACTTCGGCGGTGCCTGATCTCCACGCTAAGGCTGCCGCCCAAGCAAGCGATTACTCTTGTACGGAAGCACTTAATTCTACATCCCTTCAGTGCCAGGAAGTACCCCTAGGTCCTAGCTCAGGTACTGTCCTGTGTGATACCCCTACTAGTCTTCCCAAGCCATCGTAATCCTCGCTTATTGTCTTGTCGTTTTTGATGCCCTTCATGGACTACGTCCTCCTGGTACCACAGCCACATTACGTCTGGCCGCTCATTAATAACGATGACCGTATGTGGGTCAAGCAATGCTTATAATACAAACGATCAGAAAAGCACAGGCACGTAGCTGCACCCATTGGCTTGTTCGTTACACCTGATGCTCACCTCAGATCACATTCACACTGACATTGTAGGTTCAACGTCACCATCGCATAGGTAGGATCAAATACACATGTGCGTCAATGGTTTCACAGGATGGCCCGAACCTATTTCCATCACTTCTATTAGGACGGAGACATTTTCACACTGCCTCATAAAGAGACAGACAGCGCTGTATTGTTGTCCCTCGACTGTCACAACTAAACGAGGACTATAATTCCAGTTTGAACTATTTGAACGGTTTCATCGCCAACTTAAAAGTGCTCTTCGAGTACACGAAAACAACAGTTTGTAAGAAACCTTACCGCTCGTCCTCTTAGGTATTAGAACAAGCGTAATAGCAGATATTCAAAGTTTCGCCGCTGAATATGTATACGGCACGACATTGCATCTGCCTGAGAAATGACATACATAACGTAGCGGTAAAAGTCTTGATAGATCAGACTACGTCGGATGATTGTCTGAATACATGCGAGCACTGTAAACTGGAATAAAGCATCGACAGGTCACCTTTCCTTGAAAGTTATCCACCAGTTCACATGTTTCATACGGGTAGATTCGCTACGCAAACCTTTGCAACAGCCTTACGAAGAACCTTTTCACGTGATTTATCGTCATGAAAAGACCCTCAAGGTTGATCGACATCGCTGCGTCGAGATAGCATTGATCGTCTCAAGCCAGCACGCCTCAATGACCGTGCCCTAACAGCTAATCTGAGACCCAATGCTAGATCTGTCAAACCTACTATCGTGATACCTACATTACCTTCGGATCCCAAGCCAGATAGATCAGAGACTTTACTCTCATGTCCCAGTCAATAGCAGGCGTCATCTACACCACCAATGGACGAGACTCTGGTGTCATATCCAGATCAGCGGACCAGGACGCCGCTTACTTTGGCTGAGATTGCAATCTTAAGCTCTCAACCTTGAGGTACGAACAAGACTATCATCTCATGTTCCAGTCGCCAGGGACATCTATCTGCACATTTTCGTGACTAGCCTCAGTAAGCAATGTATTGCAATTAGGACTCTTACCCATACAACTCTCTTGCTAATCCTTTTTCTTTTTTTATACGATTTTTTTATCCTAAGCTCACGCCTAAGACCATCATCCTGCTAGTACCGTAGACTTCAAACAATCTTGGCGCAAGCTGGCCTGATCAGTCACGTTCTTGTCAATGTACTCGGTCGATGCTCTAGTTCCGACTATAACTGCGATACGTGCGGTCCCGAACTTGATCATCATGGTCGCTTCCAGTTTCTTGGCCTCAATATGGTTCCATCCTTTGAAGACAACTCGGGAATCTTGGATCGCTTCCTGATCGTCTGAAGTTCCGTCCTACAGTCTCACGTTTTTCGATCTGTCCCAAGAACGAAGCTGTCACATATCAAAAGTGTAAGCCATTCTTATTGACGGCTGCAGTAGTGGCTCCACTTTTATGAAGAGGACGCGATTAATTTAGTAGAATATTCACTATTGTAACCTGTTATACCAGTGATTTTTTGATAGTCCTCTGTGTTTATCTGCACTAGACACATCAACTTTCCGCTCGTGTCGCCTACATCTCGATTCTTTTACTCGCTGTAGTTTCACCTGTATACTTTGGCACGATCTCTATATTATTTCGGTACCACGAAATCACTAACAAATATACTTTTATTTCTGTATCCAACTATCTTCCCTGTCTTGGTTTAACCGAGGGATTTTGCCAGGTAACTGGAACGTAATTCGCCTTTAGTGGTGATCACAGTCAATCTCGACTTGTCCCACTAAAACTATATGATGAGTTTGATGATAAGCCAGTTTTTATTCAACAGACCTGTTTCTATTTGCTTTAAGTGCTTTGCTTAAATATCCAAGCGACCTCGTACTCTTTCAACCTACATACTCAAAAAGCATCATTGTTTGATTGTTTTAAAATATTGTAGAATCTTTTTTGAATGTTTTGTTTTTTGGAAAATCCCTCCATGTGTATATATTTGTGTTATGATATGACTAACTCTTTCTGTTGATATTTTGGTGCTCTATTTGATTCCATTTTGAGATTTTATCATTGTATATTGTTATTATTTCTATATTTTGTACTTATATTGAAGTTTTTATGTTTGCTTCTGAACTGTACATATGTTGTTTAAATTTGATATTTAATATGGCTACAGCCATTTTGGATTTGATACTGTAGCCATTTGGACTGGAAGCACTTATTCTTCCAGAAGCGGATACCCACCAGGGTAATTTGGACTTGGAAGGTGTAGCAATTGTTAGACCAATTTCTCCCAGAATTACTGTGTTTTTGCTATTGGATCCGGGACGTCGAGTGCCAACCTGCACCTAATGGAAACAAAGTGAACTGCTACGGTAGAAAATCCATCTACACATATTAATATGTTCATTAATTGCAAAGTATCTAGACATGTGAATAAAATATTTGTGACCTGTCACCTCTCAAATTAGAAAAGGTACAATGAGAGACATCGCGATACTTGACATTATGAAACGAATGTTTTAGTGTTGACTGCTAAACTGCTAATCAGTACCTGCCGATCACTAATTATGAACTATGTTCCCTTATTATAGTCTAAACATGTATCATAAATATGTTGTGATCACAAGTCATATAGCTTATTCTATCATATTCGGCAAAGAAATTTAAATACAAGAAATATTCAGAGGATTGTCCTAGTTCACAAAACATATGACTGATAATAAAAATCGGGTTTATATACGTATGCTACTGATGCATTCGTATGCTCTTTGAACTTCATTTTTGAGGCTTTCGTTTCAATAATACAAGTTTGTAAGTTTCGTCGGACTCGCATCTTCTAAATTAGACGGAGATGGATTAGAAGGAACACCTGTACTAGGATGTCTGCAAACTGCAAAAAACCTGTGTAAGTTATACGGATGATCTCATTGAAAGTACATTGATTTCTGCCCACCACATCTCCGTCAAATAAAACTCTTGCTGCTCAATGGGAAATAACCGGTTGGTACTGGACTCGAACTTCATGCTTCTATGTATCAAGTGATCAATTTTAGCTGGAAACACAGAAATGGCGATTGAAAAGATCTTTTGAAAGAACCATTTATGCCTCCAAGTTAGTTGTAGCCTTCAAAATCAAGATACGAAGGTCGTAACCGGAGAACAGTATGATCAGCTTACTGTTTATTGTTTTCTGGATTTCGAGATTACCTGCTAGCAATAGTACGGATAAATCTGGGGGATTCACTGACGTATAGAAGATGAGATAGGAGACCGAAGATGATGTCAAAAGGTACAGTACAGTCAAGCAAGCTGAGGTATCTACGCTATCAGTCTCGTTCATTTGTGATTAGATTAAGTCTTCTTGTGAACCAATCTAATTTTCATTTTGACCGTGTTTACTGAGTCTGGAGTTTATCACTCGCGCTTGGAATTCATACGTGGTGAGATTAATAAATATAAGATTTTTCTTCTTAACATTATTTAGAAGATAATGAGTGACGTCGTGTTTATGCTGCTTTATTAGCGAATCGAACGTGCAACTGTTGAATGAAGGTTTCGTGTCTAGGTTCGGCTACGATTTTGGGGGTGAATTAGTTACGCTAGAGTTCACACTCGATTCTTACGTTTATATTCGGACAAATGTTATCGGTTTTCATTTACCCTCGGCTACATATAAGTCTATAGAGAGCGTATCTTGTCCAATTTCGTTCGATAACTGTTACTTAATATCCATGCTCAATTTGTCGCTTTGTATACCCAAGTCCTTGGCTAAATACAACATCTTTATAATCCCTATGTAGTTGGGCTTTTGAAAGGGATATGTTGATCGGCATCGTGCGTGATCCTGAAACAAAGTCCGCAATTGACGACATAAATAGTGGATTTAACCGATCAGGATCTTTTACCTTACCTTGTTAAGGTTCAGTGAGCAATCAAGGAACATCTCCAATTGCAAGTACTGGTTTTATAGCCGAATAACGATTGATTACAGGCTGCCATCAAAATATCCAATCCAAGTTTTAGGCGCTAAATATTTGGTCTGTCGCGCGTTGAGATCCCCAAAGATTCAACAGTTTCTAGCATTACTCCAAGATTTAAATGACTTTGGACCAATTTATCGGCAAGACAACATGGTTCATGGTATGTTAACCCTATAACCACTAAATCGCGCGGTGTCCAATGTACGCGGTTATGAGTTGTTTTTGCTGAGAAAGCTGGTTAAAATCCTATATACTGATAACACTTTTTTCTACTACGCATATTATATTGACTAAAGTCGTTATTATTCACAACAATGACTTGAATATTTGGAAATCGGACCGTTGTGGCGGGTAATATGTCCTAATGTGAACGTGTACGTTATGATTATAAATTTACTGTTATGTTCGTTACAATTATCTGGTGGGTCAAAGACGTGTAAAATAATAAGTACTCACTTAATTCTCCTTCGTTTCGTCATCTGGCTGACCATTTTGTTAAAGTCCTTTGAAAAGCTTGGTCAAACTGGTTGGGTCATTTGTGGTACCTTAACAACGTCCACTGAACATACTTTTGTGACCTCATAGCCTCCTTATACGTTTTGTTGAGTTATTCGAACTATCTGAGTCTGAAATTTAACCTCATAACTGTATGGTATACCAGTGTTAAGAAAATTGGTTGATTTTTGATTTTAAATCAGATTCAAATTATTTACTGAATGGTTATCTGCTTTTTGCTGAGACGCACTTTGGGCACGAATTAGTGGCACTTAGCGAAACTGATTTGATAACTGAAATCAAGAATGTCGACTTTGTGACTCAAACTTGTTAATATACTACTGGAAGTCCTTACGGTTGTTTTAATTAATGTCTTAATTAATATATACTTTTACAATCACACCACCAAATATTTCAATTGTTCTTTGACATCGCTGTCTTATATAAGACCAGCAACCAGTCCCTTTGCTTCATATTTTTTAATGCATCCTAAAAGTATTCATAATAATATAAGTGACTAACGGTTTTGTACTGTTAAACTTAGTATAAGTCAGTTATTAAAAGTCGAATACTTAATCCTCGTACAATTAGTTAAGTGGCTTTGAGTTTTCATGTGGCTGCCCGAAAATGCCCTGGTACGACCGAGTGAGGAGAGTTGGCTCTTCCTCTGGAAATGCTCTCATTTAGCCATGCGTAAATAGTCACCATCAGGGAAGTCCTACGTACTACCTTCTCGCGGCGGTTTTTAAGAAATTGGGCATACGAAAAGCCAGTGTCAGGCGCCTTAACGTGCTAACGCATATAGAGAATCCACGTAGAGCAGTCGAAAAACCCTGATTCTAAACCAATGGCGCACATGGGCTCCAGGTCCCTGATGAAACATAGGGCCTGAAAACCTATTGTCGGTCATTGGCTACCACGAAACTGCACTTCTTTACATTGCCCCTCCACCTTTCGGTTTAGGCTTTTGGGTCAATTGTCCGGGTATGACACCCTAAGAAGACCATCTGTTTCGGTCTGGATATCCGGACAGTATCTCGGCTCACTCACTAAGTCAGTAATCTGTGTGGCGCATAAGTATTCATTTGCCCCATCTGTACCAGTATTTTTGTATCAAAATAAATAAAATTAATATGTGATTATCTGTTTTTAGACAAACGCTTACTAAAAAGTTTGTCATCAAAGGTAACTTGATGTATCAATAAATTTCCATTGATCATTCTAAAGGGTCATCATTCTTCGTAAGAAACTTTTGTGCCATTCACAGTGTTTATAAGCACCTGTTTCAGTTCATATCATCGCAGAGGTTGATTATAAAGCTGTTTTATCGAGTAATTGATCTGACAATTTTTAAGTGTTAAAAGGTAATTCAGATACAAAAATAGCTGTAAACTAACGCAGACTGCTGATTAAATTTACTTGTTTCAATATGCAGTTGTCGTATCATTTTGTCATACATTAAGTCAAACTAACAATTGGACGATGGAAAACAAAAAATTTAAACCCTTCGATACAGTCGTAAACTTTAACGAAGACTTCATTTTAGGTAGTTTTGCATTCCAACTATATTCACTTAATTTTAGGTTCCGAAGCACATACTAAGACAGATTCTCCAAAATATGGTGTATGTAGCTATCCAGGTAACAGTGAAGAAAAACGGTCGCAGTCGCCGAATGGTACTAATGCTTTCAAATCATTTATTCATGGTCAGAACAAATACCGTAAACGTTTAAGTCCAAATGTTACTACAAATCTTCAAGGTTCTGAGTACGAAAACTTATTTCAAAACTTATACTTCCACGCTGAACCGTTAAGATTCGTAGGTTACCGGCCGATCTTCGGTACTACAAATCTTATGGATTTATATTCTTTTGATAACGATATTCGTCTCAAACCTTTTGAATTATCATTTATAGGTGATTCTTTCTTGAGTTCTTCAGTCCTTCCTCGTCATCCAAATGACCAAACCTGTAAAACTACCAAACATCAAACCATGCCTATATCAACCTCTTTTTCTTACAAGTTCAAGAAGGAACGCATAAGATCACTGTCTGAATCATCAATTCGACACATCTATCTTAAGAAAAAAAGTACTGAAGCCGAGTCAGGCTTTATTTTGTCTTGTCATTATGAGAAGGAACTGAGTTATGTTCGACAGGAACTTACGGAGCGCACTGAAGAGGCAGAAGAAATTGCACACGAACTTATACGTATAAAAAATGAAGAAAAACAGTTCACTGAGCAATTGCAGGAATTGACAAGAGATGGTTCTGCTAAGGCAGATACTATTGCTAAATTAAAAGAGAAAGTTTCTGAGTTGTATGTTGAGGTGGAATCCCTTCGATGCTCCCATCTACAAGCCATCTCTCACCAAAAAGATTTACAGAAGGAGATTGACAGTTTGAAGTGCTCGCGTGATTGGTATGCCGATCAACTTCGTCTGGCTCAGTGTGTTCGCGATCGTATTCAAAACGAACCTGGAAGAATTAACAACTTACTGAGGGATAGCAGTGAGATAAATCATCGTTTGGCACATGAAAACGCTTGTTTGCAAGCTCAATTGGCGTGTAGCAGGGCCGCTTTAGCTGATGCGAAACGAAACCTTTCTCGGCAGTTAGAGTCTATTCGTGTTGACATGATAGAACGTGAAGCGGTTTTTAAGCGTATTACTGCTGAACGAGCTTTGTTTGAAATCACTAGTCGCCAGCGCGCTGATGAGATAAGGGAGTTAAAGACACAGGTATCTCATTTTAAAATGGAACTTAAGTCTACTGAAGAGCATCTTTCGCTTCAAAAGAATAAGTTATTGGACGCTGAACGAGCCTTAGAAGTTGCAGAAAGTAGACGCAGTGAACTACAAAACCAGTTAGATGCTTTTGAAAGGGAACATTTTACTAAGGAAAGCTATCTAGATGACCAAATCGCTAGATATGGTATCGTCCTGGAAAGCTTAAAAGATTATGAAAATGGCCATAAAAGTAAAGCTATTTTAATCGACGAGATTCTGGAAGAAAAAGCATCACTCACAGCAGCTCTCTCAGCATCAAAACATGAAAAAGAGATGTTGAATAACTATTTAATAAATTTAAAGGACAACCTAATCAGAGTGGAAGAAAGTTTTAGCATCCTTAGGTGTGAAATCGAATCCAAGTCTGCACAAATTGTGGAGCTTACCAGTCAACGAGACAATATGGCTGATAAAATTAAATCTCTCTATAATCAGTTAAGTGATTACTACAAAGTGATCGAGAATTTACAAAAAGAAAAAGAAGAATTAAATTCTTCTTTAAAGGTCTTGCGGATGGAAATTGAAGATTCTCACAATAATCTGAACAAGTTGGATTTGTCACTTCAAAAGACTGACGTTGCCGTTGAAACTGTTGCTACATTACAACCTATAGAATTGAATTCTGTCTTGCCGAGTCATATGATCGATAAAGTACCTACACTGGAGTCTCAGACCATTTACTACCCGCCGGGTGAAATGGAGACCTCTGAAAGTCAATCAATTGCTGTTTCTTTACCGAATAATCTTAGTACCCCAGATGCTAATTGTCACAGCACTTTAGACATTCTCGTAGATGAAGCTAGTTGTTGGCAAAGTATGGATTTAAATGAAAATTTATACAGAAATGCTCTGCATAACGTAGCTCCAGCTTCACAAAACGCAAACCATGTAACTGAATCTGATCACGACACTCAAAATAACAGGTTAAACTCACAGGAAAATCATCCCACAACACCTTTAAGTACTAATAAGAATACTTTTTTGTCAAGGGACCGGTCGTCTTTGGTTTCTGTCCATGTTTCGTTTACTTCGTGTGAACAAAATCAGATGGAATCAAGTCAAGCTATTTCTAGTTCAACTAGTCAGTGTTATCTTGGTAACTGGCCATATATACAGCAATTATCAGATAGCCAGAATGGTGCTAATGTGAATCCTGGCTTTCATATTTCAGAAGCCCATATAAAAACTAATCAAATTTATTTTTATCCATCTTCCCATGATAATTTGAGCTATACTCATGAATATAAATCCAATGCATATCAAGATAATTTGTACGCATGTTCATCTAAAGGAAAACGTTCCTCAGATTTAAGTTGGGATATTGCAATTAGTACAAACAATTTTTTGGCTCCTAGCGTCGGTTCACCTTTGGACCACATATCTAATAATACGAACTGTGATGAAATTTATACCGATCCATTAGTTACCTTAGAACAAGAAGTTGATGAAAATTCAAACCACCTAACTCAACAAAATACCTGTTTGTCCAGCCTAAGTAATACCGTTATGGCCGTGTCTACCGAGCAAGATGTCAGTTATAGTTTTACAGTTACTGAGGCTCAAAATTTTCTTACGAATGATTGCTCTGGTTACTTCCAGGAGAAAATAAATGAAAGCGAAACATCGGTTCTATTAGCGAAATATTTCTCTTGTGACCAAACGAACCAGGCAAATGAGGTTTTCCACCTAGAAAATGTAACCGATAGCTTACTACCTGTCAATGAAACTCCCATCTCAATATTATGTAGCTTTTCACCACATGAAACTTGTAACTTGATTGACACTGGATCAGATAAACCAGAGATTTCGGAGTTGCATCCAAATGAGAGGTTGAATCAATCAACAATCGATTCTAATCGGAATGGTGGCGACAACTGTCAATATATTTTCAATTCTGAACCACAAAATGGTGATTCTCTATCTACTCTTGATGAACTAAACCGTGTGAAAAACGAGCGAAACAATCTTTCCGAACATATTTTGGCCTTGCAAAAGGATTTAGCAGAAGCCGTTGTTAACTTAACAACGTATCGAAAGGAAGCAGAGGTACAAGCTCTTAATGTTGAACATGAAAAAGTCGCCCATCAACAAACACTAAAGGCTCATCAACTTACTATCTCAGAACTTGATAATGCTAAAGCCGAACTTGTTAAAATGCAAAAGTTAGTCAGTGAACTTCGTCAAGAAGTTGTATCATCAAAAGAAGAGGTGGAATTGTTGCGAGTGCGTGAAGATGAAAACCGTTCTCTCTATGAAACTGAAATCAACTCAATGAAATCAGAGTTGCATCCAAATGAGGGGTTGAATCAATCAACAATCGATTCTAATCGGAATGGTGACGACAACTGTCAATATATTTTCAATTCTGAACCACAAAATGGTGATTCTCTATCTACTCTTGATGAACTAAACCGTGTGAAAAACGAGCGAAACAATCTTTCCGAACATATTTTGGCCTTGCAAAAGGATTTAGCAGAAGCCGTTGTTAACTTAACAACGTATCGAAAGGAAGCAGAGGTACAAGCTCTTAATGTTGAACATGAAAAAGTCGCCCATCAACAAACACTAGAGGCTCATCAACTTACTATCTCAGAACTTGATAATGCTAAAGCCGAACTTGTTAAAATGCAAAAGTTAGTCAGTGAACTTCGTCAAGAAGTTGTATCATCGAAAGAAGAGGTGGAATTGTTGCGAGTGCGTGAAGATGAAAACCGTTCTCTCTATGAAACTGAAATCAACTCAATGAAATCAATTGTTAAGGTATATACTATTTCTTTAATGATATTAATTCTTGGTTTTATTATGCCACATGATAAAAGAAAGCTGATGAGCTCTTTGCATCGATATAAACATTTTACGTTTTGAATTTTTATTTTGACTCTAGAACATTCATAAACTACTGGTGTTTTGTCATTTTCGTTCATTTTTATTGAGAAGCGTCGTCATACAACTAAATTTTCAGTAGTCATGTAACGTATATACCGTTGGCTGTAAACGGTATTGCAAATTTTTGTGTAAGGGATGTTTAAATTGTTGGTGTTTGCATGAAGGTGGTGATGATCAACCACTAAACCATTGCAAGCGATTTTAAATGATATGGCTCAAAATCGTTTGTGATTGCGCAGTTGCATCCACTCTCTATGCTCTCTCAAATTCTAATCTTCTAAATTCCTCATCACCTCTATCTTCTTTTTCTGCATTTATCTCACTGAATTATACTTCTCGAATCACATCTTCGGACCGTTACCGCTATGAGATTTGAATTGACAATTGCGTCTCTGTGTTTATTTTGTGTGGCAATATGAACTTATGTACGTATGTACGAAGTTCCACGTTGTATCTGAGTGACTGACACAATTCTACAGTAGAAGTATCCCATCTTTTTTCCACATAACCTATTTTTGTTTGTTATTTAAAATCTCACCTACTAGCATTTCATGATAGTTCCTAAAATACAGTCGTTGTTTAGCAGTTCAAAAGAATGAGTATAGAACTTTTCAACTTGTAGATAACTACCGATCATTTATCAACACTGGCAGAATCACTGTACAGTGCACTAGATGAAAAAGCTATACTGCAGGCGAAACTAGATCGTTTGGAACATGGGATTCATGGTCAGTTACAGAAATTTCGTTTGTTTACTCGTTTGGAGTTACATGGCGAATCCAAAGTAGTCAATCAATGCTCCCTTGGTTCTCTAGCTGCTCTTGGAATTCATGTAGAAAATATGGTTGATGGTAATCCTGAGATGACTTTCCATAGAAAGTAAGATAAATTTCATATAACTCATCTATCTGTTTTAAATTTTTTTTAAAAATTTAAAATTATTTTTAAAAGGTGTACCAAAGAAGTACATTAACCTTATACAATCTCCCTACTCAAACACTACAGGTCGAGCTAGAGCTTATGGCGAACTGTCATCGGAATCGGTTACTTCAAGTGGCGTCCGTCAGGGATGTCCACTTTCTCCATTCTTCGACATATAACATTATCTTCGTCTGAACTTCCAGGAGTAGACCTTCTACCAGAAGATTCATTAGTTGACTTAGAATATACGAATGACACAGTTCTATTCAGTGAAGACGCTGACTACCTTAAGCAACAACGCAAGCATGTTCGGGATGCGATTCTCCCAGTCGAAATTCGAAATGTTGCTTCAGTGTTGCCATGCGTCGGAGCCTGAACTAGCGATAGGAAGTGAAGTAGTCAAGCGTGCTGACCGCTTATCTTATCTTGGGACTTTCATCAGTACTGATGACCTGGTGATTGACGAAATCTCAGCACGGATACAGAAGGCTCGACTGGCTTTTGCCAACTTGTGTCAGTGTTTAAGTTTATTTCACTAGATTCTACTGCGTGAATAATATCGACGAACCCTAATCTTTCCGATTACTGCTAATACTTTTACTACCTCTACTACTACGGGATTCAAAGTGACAAGTGCATCTCTGTGCTAATGCAGTATGGCAACATAAAGTGATGTACATAGGTACGAAGTTCTACGTCGCTGTTGATTGATTGGTATTTTTTGTTTTGGACAATAATGTTCATTAGGTTTTCAGGTTTATCCCAGCTACTTTCGTATCCCTAGATATTATCATATTTAGGTCTTTCAACTGGATCTTATTCATTAATCCTTTGTATTAACTACTCACCTAAATAATTTTGCTCGTTTAATAATGCTAGAATGAACGTTTGTCTATCCTATATTTCCGTAAAAAAACAAACATACAAGTATAGTAAAGTGTACTGGCCAAAGAATACTAGACAAGCCAGATAACTGGAGAACACATTGTATTAAAAAGAACTTTGAATATCATACCCCACAGATATCAATATTATAGTTTAAATATAAGTCATTAGATTTTAGAAATATCATTCATTTTATTAAGGGAGATTCTGTAATCTTCTTTTGTATCTCTTTTTGCAGATCACCTCGTAAATTTACTCCATCCTTCGAGTGTCTTCGGACAGAAATAACAGAACTTGAGAACGATCTACTTAGTCGTAGTATGCTTGTCAGTGACTTAACTCAAAATAAATAGTAAGTGAATAGATATCGTTTGATAAGTTTATTTTTGCAGTGTAAAATGAATTATGAGTTAAATATATCTTAAGATTTAATTTAAATAAATATTTATTTCGTGTACACTAATTAATCGCCGGCTGGTAACTAATATTATGTTAAATAATTCACAGTACCTACAGAATCCCATCAATTAAATCTGCAATGTACTGTTGTAATTGCCTAAATACATTTATGTGATTTTCACATAATTTATAAATTCCTTCCTGATGAATACTAACTAGTATAAAACGTACATTTACTGATTACTTTCTGGCGTAGAAGATTAATTACAATATAATACACGATTTCAAGTCATTCCCCTCATTGGTTATTGTTGGTGGGAGATAGATTGGACTACAGCATGATTGCGTTACTGCATGCTGATTGGATCTTTTGTATCCAATCAGTGCTAGCCGATTTTGAGGGAACATTCTGGAGTCTTCTCATGTAAGAAAACTATAAACATACTAACATCTTTTCCCTTTGGACCTTCTGTCTTCCTTCTTATCTAGTTATTGGAATGTAATCTATTTCCTGTTCAACCGTGTTCTGATTTGGGAGGACGTCTCAAGTGAATTGGTGTCCCAGAATCTTAAGCACCAGGAATAGCTGGGTTGTAATAAAGAGAGAATTATAACAGTTATATTGAGAGCTTGAATGATAACAGTTACTTTCTAGGGACTAATTAGTCTTAACTAAGAATATTTATTGATTTGTATTAGTTGTTTGATTCTTCCCGTTGATGTTTAGGACTGCAAACGATCAGTCTCTGGCCTATGTGCATTCTGTGCGCATCGCCTCACTATTGCCTTTAGATTTCAAGCATAATTATCAGAGAGATTGGTCAGTTGCAGTCTTAAACATCAGTAGGAAGATTCAAACAACCGATACTAATAAATTGATCTTCATCCCACTGCACAAGTGAGTGACGATCTGAACTTAGCAACAAAGTGTATAATCCTATGGCGTTTGAGGCGGAAGGTTCTGAGTTCGTGTCGTTAAGTAAACGTCATTTCTGAAGTGCAGGTGCATCCAGCTGACGAATCCCGAACTGGAAGAAACACAAATCTTAGATTCCACTGCTGGCCACTATCCAACTCTGCTAATAATGACAATTCCTGTATTTTTACTACCCTGTGTTAAAAATTCAGGCTCTTGGGGTAGCGTGATTTTCCTCAAAAATTGCAAATGAATCTTACCGTCAAACCGTAATTTCTTACCGACTATGTGAATTTTTGTTGCATTGAATTTTATATCTGTTTCTTTATAAAATCCAGATCGTTGTCTCAGATGTACAAATGTACCAGCATAGAACTTTAGTTTCATTCTAAGTGAGGTAGTGTAACTTGTGAAATGAATAAGTGTAGATGTTTACAATACTAAAAACATTCATCTACTCACTAGCTAGCGGCTTTGGAATATATTCCTGGAGTTCGAGTTAGAAACCATGATCAGTGGAGTTCAATCTGTGCTGGGTGTGAGACAATTATTTGCCGCATACAATGGATGAAAGTTGTGCAAGAGCGTGGATTGATTGAAGTTCGACACTGCTGGATGCCAGCTCAGGGGCCTAGAAAGTAAACATTTTTGAAGGTTCTGGGTTTGATTCCTGTACACAGGGTCGTGCATACGCACTGCTGAGGAGTCTCATACTGTAAAAATCTCTGTTCAATCTTTCATAAGCAGCGTAAAACATGCCATAGATATGCATTCACACTAGCACAATAAAAGCAAATTAACAAGATGAAAAGTGAATTAGTTACAATAATAATATCATCAGTAGTGATAAATATAAGAAAACATGGAAAGGAGCGGGTAAAATTACGGAATAACAAGTATGGGATATTGTTAGAACTGAAGATTTAGAAGATGAAAATCAATACATTTATGCTACTGCAGCTGATCTTGAGCCATCTTTAGTTCAAGCCATATACAATTGTTTTTTACGTTTGTTTATGCTTTTCAACATATAACATAGAAATAAGCGGTAACTATGCACGGGTAGTCTTATATGCTGAACCTCCTCAACGGATGGAGATTCATAACTTCGATCCGTTGACTCATGGTTTGCTTAGTTCCTTACGCCTATTCTTAGTTTTGCTTACAGAGCAATTCCAAAATACGTGATTAATGTTTCGAGGGCATTTATCATAAAATACTGGTGACCTTCAAATACCATTAGCCATCGAAGGTCATGTTTCATAGCTCTACTCAGGGATGAATTGTTATCTGATGCTTTTTGTATGTTTTCAGAATTCCAACTGATCGATGAAACTAGTTTTTTGAGGCCTCGAATGTCTATGTTTTACTCATATTCAACTTGAAGACAACCCTACCGATATCTACATCGCACTAAACTGGCTTGATCAAATAAGTTGAAACGTTTTCAAATTCAGTTGGAAGCCGATATCAAATATCGTCAACTGAGTTATCCATTTACTTTTCAATCATGAAAATTCTACTCTATTTGGTAGTATTATCACCCATTATTTTGTCTCTCTTTTAGATCATGTGACATACGTTTTCATTCTTATAGCATTTACTTTTAAAATGCAGTACCTCATGGTGAACCCAACTTTTATACTTGTCTGTTGTATAAATTTCTATAAACAGTTCAGTGAATCTCGTATCCACACATACACATTATTTCCCGTTCTACAAACATGTGATACATACTTATAGCTTGTTTGAATTTCATTCAAACATGATTGTCTTTCTTGCTTATTTTTGTCATCGTAAAAATCACTTCAGTCTTTCATTTATAGATTCATAAATATTCCTTTAATATTAGCAGTATTTCTTTGAACAATTATGGATTCATTAAAAAAAATTGTTACGCGTGAGGTAATTTTATTATTCTAATTATTTTGTACTGTTCAGACTAAAGTTGACAATAGGATTATGAATAATTGCTTTCATTTGTTCTTTTTGTGTGAGAAAATAAGTGAATCATAATGCCCTTAGACATTTATGTTTATTTTATGTGATACAAATGTATTTATATATTGGTTGATACTCTGTTTCTAAACCATTGTGCTAATATACACAAACTTCTTGTGTTTTATCTTGTAGCAAGTTTAAAGTTTTTTTGTAATGTATACCATAAATGGAAACACATAGATAATGGAAATGCAGTCAGGCAGCTATAACATAGAACTTCGTACGTACGTACATTAGTTCAAGTTGCCATACTACATTAGCACTGAGATACACTTGTCACTTCAAATCCCATAGTAGTAGAGGTAGTAAAAGTATTAGCAGTAATCGGAGAGATCAGGGTTCGTGGATATCATCCACGCAGTAAAATCTCGTGAAATAAACTTAACCAGAAAAGGATAAAGGTGATGAGGTATTCAGAAGGTTTGCATTTGAGAGAATACAAAGAATGAATGCACCTGCCGCCTCACTGCATACAGTTTTGAGTCATATCATTCAAAGTCTGTAACCATCGGTGACTTTCGTCTCGGCGACCCCAACCACGTAGTCTACATCTGTTAACATGAATCAGTGCACTTGTCAGTGACTTAATGGATTTCTGCCATGTTTTTGGTCTAGCCACCCCTAGCTTTCTTCTAGCCTACTCCTACATCATACAAAATCAGTGGTTGGACATACGTGACACATCATAGGAATGCTCACTGGTTCATATAGTCATAAGTCTTACCCACATACAAGTGAAAGAAGTTAAATATTTCTATATGTGACAAATGTAGAATGTAGCTATATTTAGCTATTCACACAAATAATTCTTACATTTCTAGTGAAATAACTAGGCCTGTCATACATGTTTCGCTCAATGTTCCGATATCCTACTACTATATTCGTCAGCATAAACTTTGTATGTTCCTTTCTTGTTTCTTAGAATTCCGTCTATGATAGGTGACCGAATTGATGAACAGAGATACTTGTTGATTAAGGCAGTAACGAATATCTTTTAAATAAGTTTTTTTAAATTCACTTTATTGCATTAGAGTAAGCGTATTAAGTCGTACTTGTGATGTGTTCGCTATTATTAACATTCAAACTTGACTAATACGTACAAGTTAGTTTTAACCTTATTAGGAAGTTATACTGATTTAGCGAAGTCGTTTGTTAACCATGTTTCGTTAACATTAAATCCGTTTTACCAATAATCCAAATGTATCTAACGTGAAATAGATGAAGTTGATAAAGAACATACGGGTTTACTAATTTATTTACTCAACCAATTTGGATTGACGTGAATCGATCCACGATATTGCCTTACTTTATCTATTATCTTCGATGGGTAATTAACGCACACTGATGGAAATTGTATAGGAATTTATTACCAGTATCATAGAGTCGATTCTGACCAACACAGTTCATATCGTCAGTCTTATTCTTTAGTGATCTTGACTAGTTCATGAGTTAAGGGTTTTAGTATGTACTTGCGAAGTCAGTAAAAAAATATTTATTGAGTCTAGTATTCTTGAAATGCCGAAATGACATGTGTACGCTTCTGAAGCCCCTTGGACAGCACTGAGACAAATATAATGACATTTTATGAATGAAACCGCTCATTGTTACTTCATTTTTGCTATAATAGTCCTGAAAATTGACTTCAGGTAAAGCGTTCGCGCGCAAGCCCGAAGGTCCTGCACACAGGGTTGTGAATGCGCATTGATGAAGAGTCCCATACTAGGACGAAACGGCCATCCGGTGCTTTCAGGTCTAACAATGATCGACTTATGATTTTTATGAAATTCAACAGTCTTCACAACTTTATAATGAAAATGATAACTTCAGTTAATGTGAAAATATCAAGGCTACATGAATAAATGCATGCTAATATATTTCCTTAATTACTATCTCTTGTAATTAATCTCACATTTCATTCTTCAGTTAATCAATTAAATTTACAAATTTGATGGACATGAAGTAATTGAGAAATATGGTGTCGAAAAGTTTTTTTACTTACTTTCCGAATTGATTTTCATTGTAAACACAATATTTTAACTTATTAAATCAAGAGTCCTATTTTAGTAACATGATACTAAAGTGGAAAAGAGTATGACTATATATTTCTAAAAGAAGTATGTGAATATATATATTTTTCGTATTATTATCAGCCCGCAATGAATGAACGTCATATCAATAAAGGGACTACTTTTGTGAATAATAATTCATGTTACTAGTTATCCAGGTAGTCATTATTTTTCAGCAAATTAAGAAACCTTTAACTGAAACTGAATTGTTAGGTACTCCAGTGATAAAATGTATTTTAAACTACACTTGGTTACTTGTTTTTTTTTTCTGAAAAAAAACGACTAATGTCAAAACTGTGACTGAGTATGTTTCATTAGAACCAGTTCGTATGAAATATGAGTTATAGTGAACAACTGAAAAATATAAGATCGTAGATATACGTTAAACAGTAGAACGATATTATTAATCAGAGTTTTTTCTTATTTTCTTTGGTAATCATTCATCCAGGATGTACTCTTATTCACTTCGGCTATTGAAATTAATTTCTATTGCACACAGATTATTTATTGTCTATCAATCATGCTTACATTATAATGGATTAATGTTTTCTTTAAAAGAATCAAATTTTTCAAATTCATCTATTCAACCGTCATACGGAATTGTACATAAAGTACAGTAATAATATTTACGAGATTATCAGATTATATAAATGTAAATGCAGTTATATATATATATATATATATATATATATATATATATATAATCATTAACTATCAGAATAATGTCATGAAAATTCACAACACTGATGAAGTGATATTGAATAATATGAATAATATTTGAATTTCACATTGCATTATTATGTAGATTATGATTATTATAGCAAAAAAAAATTATGTTATAATTTTAAGTGTAAGAATAGTTTTCCACTTCTCGTTTAAACGATCTTCATATGGATGAAGTATCACTATTTATTTGATTATTGACAGAATCGACAGAAGTAAATGTAATAAATGCACACAGAATATTTGATCTTAATCAATAAACGTTACTAGTTGACTTTGAATAGTAGGCACACTGCTGAGAAACGAAGTTTTGATGTGATCTACAATCTGACTTATTAATGAATTTATTCTTTGCCCCGGTCACTTTGATGTAATTGTTGTTTTACATTCAGGCATTCTTAGTCCCAGTAAAAAAAATTGTAAATTCTAATTAATATGAAGTTTCATATCACTCCATTCACTCGTACAGAGCAAACAACTTTAAATAGCCCTATACTATGAGTTGAATAATAATTTATATTTTATTAGTTTGAGACAGCTTGAGTATTTGAACGTTGACATACTTTTGATGAAGCTTAAGTTTCTCAGGTTACTATTTTTGGAATTTTAGGTCCAAGGCCATTAGTAAATCACTACACACCATCCAGAAAACTCATACAATTAAGTAAAACATAATACCCATTACTTTATGACCTGCAATAGATGACACGATAGGTTATTCTAATCCATTTGTCCTAGGTCCCGATAACTAGATCAAGAAGTCTTGATAAGGCGTAGATTATGTATTCCACAAGCACCCAGAATATACGAGGTTGCTGAGCACACAACTCAAGTACATTTATACGATGATAGAAACGCCCTTGGAAGAGCCGCAAAATAGCGTACTACAATAATCCATCTCTATGACTGACAACCTTACACGTCCTGCATCGATATTGCCTGAATGGGCAGTTTCGCACATGGTGCCAGCAACGGGCAGAGGGATTCGTTTTCTTTTGTCGGACTGAGCTGGAGTTGGATGGACTGGGTGTAGCAGTGGCACATTGATTCTAGTTAGGTGTCTGGTGCACTAAACGTACTTCAGATCGACTAGACTCACCACTCTAAACCATAGACGTGTCGCGTTGCAGATTAATGAGGCGTTGATACTCATTGGCAATGTCACTAAGGGTGATGAATTTTATCTCACCTGGGGATGAGCTTTGACGCGAAGATACTAAGCTTAGCGAATTGGTACAGGATTCAGGAACAGTCTTTTTGGTACTTCTGGATCGGTTTGGCTTCTTTAGACAAAACCCATCTTTAATATCATTTTACAACTTCCTTTTCCATGTGTGTTCTGTGGATCTAACGTCCCCAATTTTATCCTTAACCATAATCTTGATAAACTTAATGCTTTATTTAATGGAATGATACAGTAATTCTGAATTCGTTTATTCGATACGTTTACATGTGTCAAATCAAAGTGTCATCTGATAATCAGTTTACATTGATAGCATTTTCAAAAGATCGTTCAATAAAATGACTATATCTTCATTCTGTTTTGATTTCTAATCTGACAAGTTAAACTATGATCAAAAGGATATTTGACTTGTTCAGACCAGTATTACGTAGTAATTACTTTCTGTTAACAAGGTTTTTCATTCATCAACATAAATGCCTGTTAAAGATAAGTTTAAATAATTGGAAAGCAACAACTACGTTCCCGGATCTCTCTTTTTACAATATATTCTTTACAAATATTTAGGACTGAATGTTTCAGTTCCTCATTCATTAACCTCGTGGAAACTAATTTGTAATTGATTTACAAAAAAAGGTCTTTTAAACTACTAGTCTCTACAGGATAGATATAATGATGATACATTTACCACTGTACATATCAAATAAATTATGCTTCATATCACTCTACATATGCATTATTTAAAGTCTTTTTTACTTCTAGTAAATAATTTTATTACAACCATTTGTTTTATTGTTTGTACAAATGAAAAACGAGAACTCCTAATTCTTAAGTACATGGAATGTACTGATTATACCAAACATTGAATACTGTTGAACAGTATAAATTATTTAATGTTGTTCAATGTATAAATTATTCTGAAGATTATCATTATCATATTATCATGCCAGTTTGTTCATGATCATCATTATTTACTTATTACACCCACGTGATTTAACAAAATCTTCGGATCGATGAATTACTCTCATCATCTATATATTTACCTTGGTCAACTACTCATGTGTAACCGTGATCATGTTTGATATATATATATATATATATATATATATATATATATATATATATATATATGAATGATATTACGTCTGTGTCGATTCACTACAGTATAATTATTACAGTATAATATTTACTCAAACTCTCAATTAAAGAGTCTATAAAGCATTGTATCATAGCTGATATTATTTCGTGATTAGATTCCTAACACTACCCTTATAACATTAAAACTGATGTTAGTTAATGACGAATAATCTTTCGGGTAATAACATTATTTCACTACATCAACTCGACTCTTTAAATGTATACTTAACTTTGTTTCTTTTACTACAAGGAATCGTATGTTTTTCAAAAGTTGGTTATTGAGATCAAAGCCATTATTCCACTGTTATTTTTACTGCGCCCTCTTCAGTTGATGGTTTTAAAACTAGGCAGCGTTTTCTAAAATACTGACTAGCCGCTCAAAGTTGTCTGTATGTTATTACACTCTTGCCGCTTCAACTACCCAATATTAGCATATCTGACATATATATATATATATATATATATATATATATATACACATTATATTTGACTTGTGATATAGTCTTGTTTAAACTTGTTAATTCAATAGAACCTATACGGAATCAAGTAAGATCTGTATTTTATTATCATCATTGTCAATCATCCTGCTGTTAGACAATGAACATTGAATTTTTTAAGATCTATTCTAGTCCAGACTAAGAGTCATTTAAGTTAATAAACGAGTAATAAACTAAAACAGTATGTGTATTTAAGTGTATATGGAAATTGATATCAATATTATTTTCGATAATTTTATGATCATATACTACGATGCTATTTGATATCGAAATCTTCATTCATAATCTGAATCTTCTTTCTAGTATAACATTACAGTAAAACATTAATGATTACTGAAATAAATTGGTTTTATACCTTGATGTATTTTAATTCTGAAGTAGAGGTTTGTAAAATCAGTTATTAACTGCATTTTTTATGCAAGGAATTCATGTTGATCAACTACTCATACGTAATTAAGTGGTATAGCGTCGGAATATTCAACATAAATTGCAACTTAGATACTTAAAGCACTATGCCATCTCTTATCGTTTTCAAACTTAGTATATATTATCCACTTTTGAAACTTTTGATTGGAAACTCTTTACTGTTTGATAACCTAGTAACTTTATCTGAAATCAAGTCTTTCATAGAGGTTTAAACTTCGGTCACCATTTGGATTTTATTAAGTGTTTCGAATGGATGACATTTAACATCATATCGTATTGTATGTTAGTACGGTAAAATAACCTTGACATTGTAAAACACTAAGGAATCCATCATTTACATTTTACTACCTCATTGAAATGCCGATCATCTCCGCCTTATGTATAAAGCAACACTTTTTTTGTAAGTCAAGTTCACATATTATGAAATTTTCATTCATAACAGATATTACAACATAAATTTTGTTGATTGGCTTTCATCTTCTAATGGTAACCAAAAGAATAATATTGCATACCACTTCCACAAGGTCACACAAGGTAGAAACATTGTTTCTAAACCCTTTGTATTGCTGTACTTTTAACACGACGAATCGGAATCTGTTTGTCTAAATTTATGAGTTGTAGCAAACTTACGATACTAGGAAACAATCTTAGATGAATCAATCAGAAACATGACTTGATTGACTCCATATTATAATAATAGCCAAATTTTTGTAAAAGTGTGTTTTTATGTATATATACGGATTTACCGTTCTAAACAAAATCAATGATGGTTTTGTATATGTTGAATCTACTTATATAACTTTAATACTTAAGCCAACAACTTGATGAATGTACAAGTGAAATGAATTTTTAAGAGCTATTCATGAATATTAGCTATGTAAATTTATCCTTTAAAAGTTTATCACAATCACTTCAGTTACTTGAATCGGTTTTAAGTAGTTTAAATAATACAACTAAAACTTGAGGCGTAAATAGATATAGTTGAAAGGGGTACGTGTATCACAGCAAACAATCTTTACTCCAAGTTATTTGCATTTTTTTTTAATCAATTCACTTTTGAAATTAGTTCGTGATCAACACATCTGTTAACTAATGGAACTGTCATCAAAAAAGATGACCAATTATTAATAATAAAAAAAAAACTAAGAAAATGTTCTTCTAATTTTATATTTCAATTTTCAGTGGACATATTATGCAAAATAACAAAATTGATCACATCAAAAACTAAATGTAACAATGAATTGTTTTTACTTGAATAAATGTATTGCTATTGAAAATAAAAAAAAAATGTTGGAAAATTATACTGATTTCTGTTTTGTTTTTTGTTGTTTTTGTTGTATGATTATTTTGTTACAACAATATTACACACCAACTATTGATATCTTAGGGCTTGTAATTGTTTAAAATCTGAAAGTATAAACAAAATTGTAATATTTAATTTATCAATAAATAAGTTTAAAAAGGTAGCGTACAACGATAATCTATCGTTGTTTGATTACTAATCACATAGACAATTGTTTTATTATAATTCTGGCCTAGATAGACTATCACATAAACCTTTGAACACTGTCGGCCTGGTCAGTTGTATCTCACAATATTCTGAGGGTCACAGATTTTACAACTTTGTTGTATTCCACTTTTTACCTAAGTATTTCAAATTCTAATAAGGAAGTTTTATGTAGGTATAGAAAAGTTAGGTTAGTTATTTTGTCAGTTTTAATTTATTGCATTTTGACTAGTCAAAACTGGATTATTTTGTACTCTTTTAATTCTTCTGAAATCAAACCACACAAGAAGACTGAAGTTATATAGAAATATTAAAAATCAAATCTAATTTTAGACTTAATGTATCGATGGAAATAAATAAATTTTCATGTTTAGTTATTTGGAGTCAGTAAAATTCAACCGTTAGACAGAAGAACAATCATACTAATGTAACCCAAGTATTGATCAGCTCGCTTAGACTGTCCATCTGGTTTAAATGTCCTGCGATTCACTAATGACAACCTGTATATGATGTATAAGCCAAGAGCGACTACTGATTTAGAATACAGTCTCCTTTTCTCACTCACCAAAAAGTTATAATCGAGACCTCAGCAATCAATCAGCTTTAAACTAAACAGTTTGAGTTTATGAATCATTTACAAAATACTATAAAGTTAAATCTTGACCGAACATTGAAAGAATTAATACATTACAATATGGGCATGTTTGCGCCATAAACAGTGGAGGATTGAGTTATATGCTCTTAAAAAAAACTAACAATAGTTTAAAAAAGATAAGATGATAATTATTTCTGTGACAATCAAAAGCTTATAAGCAGGGAAATAAAAGAATCTCATAGTTGAAGTATTTAATATACAAAAAAAATACAAAAGTTAACTTCTAACAGGATCATTTCATGAGTTCGCCTATACTTTATATTTCGTCTGATATACAAAAAATGTGCTAGAAAAACTCGCCAAAATGATGAAATACAGCAGCCAGAAAGTGAATAAAACTTTTTTTTTACCAGAAATTCCATGAAATAAAGATAACCGTTATGCATCTTGTGTGTATAAAGGAAAATTATTTCAGTAATGAAAAATAATGATTAATGATGTCGCATTGTAAAGTGAACTACAGGCTAGAGATAACAATAGGAAATCAATAGTACACTAAATGAAAGCAAATTAAAGGAATTTGAAAACCAAAAAAAAACCCAAAAACAACAGACTTGTGTTTATTCAATAAGACAAGACCAATATTGTTGTAGATTGTTTCATCCATTCATACTAGACTTCTAAACAATTTTTATTCATAATACCAGAAAAGATTGAATTCCATAACTTAGAGATATCATATCATATAAACTAAAATGCACTAAATGCTAGCAATTAATACTGTTTAAAATTTGTTACAAACAAATATAAATATAATTATTACCTTAGATTAGGTTCATTTCTTTGATTCGATGTGAAATTCCTTTTAACAGTAAATGGATTTCTCTCATATGTACTTTCAATCTACAAGAAAAAAACAAACAAACACAAAATTACAATAGTTGATAAATTGTACCTTAAGTTTATCTGTCATCTTGTTTTTGTACATGATAAATGTCGAATATTTCAAAATTGTTTTAAAAAAGGTATTGATAATCCTACATGTAAATTTCATAACATTTAATAATTTACAATGAAATTATCGCATTGATTGTATTTAATCGACCATTGCAACCACCTTATGGTGAATGACACTGATGTAGATCAGTTTTCATTGGAAAAATTTACATTCAATACTGATTATAATTATAATTTATATTAAACTTAGATGATAATAGATATGTTTGTTAAATTTGAATGAAATGAAAAAAAGAAATTTAAGGGTTATCGTATTGTTTGTACCGATCAAAATGTAGCATAAAATCGATACATTTCACTATTCACTAATATCAAAACTACCGCCTCCGACAATAGTTGAATAATATTAATTGAAACTTAAGGTTGAAGAATTTTGTAATCAATAATAATTTCTTACAAATTAGTTTAATCTGTACACTGTCTACTTTAGAAATAGTATAGTGAATGATGAATGAATTGGTCATATCATCTCTCATGAAACCCAGTCAATATTCCTAGGAATTTCAAGCTGATTAGATTAATGCTAACTGAATTGACAACAAGCAATCATTTTGTCATACAAAAACAGATCAAATAAAACACATTTGTTTGTGTAACTTAAAACAAAGTCTAGTTAGTAAAAGAACGAAAACAGTTTGAAAATTTCGAAAAACATCATGTTTAGTGTTTTTGACGCATATCTGTGAAATAATTTGTTGAGAAATAAGTATTTAATACCATAATTTATAAAGAAACGTATATAGTTCTAGTTCATTCACAATATACTTCCAAGTGAAGCCATTTATGTAATTAGGATTTTTTTGAAAAATTGAATAAGTTATAAGCCGCTGATTAAAATTAATTCTTATTATTCTGCTCAAATAAAATGGAATCATGTTGGTTTTTCTGAATTTTATTTTGTATTTTTAATACATGAAAATGTATATAAAACAAAGATTGATGATAACCTCATGGGACATTTAAATAAAATTCCCCTAAAGCTGTTCCTCATACTTTCAAAACTAAATTTTATTTTTTTTTCATAACCAAAAATATGATAAACTCAATCATTTTAATCATAACACAGATTTTCTACCTACGGAAACGATTATATCTTACTATCAAAGTAACCTTATCACTTTGCTACGTTTTCATATTCTGCATATAAGTTTAATTATTGTACATTTAATAACAAAATTGTTGATGTTATAAATAGATAATTATTATTCTATGGTCATTTAAAATTCAATAGAATATGATATGATAAAAATTACGTGAACGCATTGGTCACATAAGGATTTTGCATTGTACTGCATAGTAGTATTGCAGATTTATGAAGTCTATAGTACAAGTGTATTAATAATCAGAAAAATTGAAAATTTATAAAATCTAACAGGTTAAAATAAGCGCACTTTAAAAATCTTTAAAGTTTGTGCAAATTTAAGATGATCTTGAAAAATTTGGGATTTTTTGAAAATGGGTCACAATATTTCGTTCTGTACTGTACTTCCTTATACTGGCCTTGACACTTATCAGGATTCAATGAGATTAGTGACTTGATCACTAACAGTCTGACTAGATTAGAGGTTTATACATAGGGAAATAGAATTTTGTGTTTAATTTTGACAGTAGGTTAGCAATATATTTTTATCACATAGAATAGTTGCTGAAGTAGGTAAAATATTTGAATGAAATTAAATTAAATACCCGCCTATAAGTAAAATTAATTGCTTGTGAAGTCCTTACTTATTCAATTTGACAAATTCTAAAAGCTGGGTAACCTTTTTCAATGGAATTTAAGATATTCAATTTGAAAAATAAATTGTTTGTTCCTAATCTGAATTGTAACTACTTGAAATATTGTATAAAAAAGAGTTAGGGAATCCAAATGAGATAATAACTATGACAGACTTTATATTTTGGTAAATACGATACATTTGAAATCATCAATCGATCATTGTTCGACCACCATTAGAGACCTGGAAGCACTGGACGGCCGTTTCGTCCTGGTATGGGACTCATCGGCAGTGCGCATCCACGACTCCTTCATCTCGTAGGATTCGAACCCGGGACCTTCAGTATTGTGCGCAAGCGCCTAACCATCGGACCACTGGCCTGGAATCCAACAGTGTTAATGTCTAACTCTGATTGATCTAGGGATTTTGCGCGACCTCACCCGTTTGTCTTGGGTAGTTACTGCCTACACCCGACAGGGTTGAACTCCACTGGTCACGTTTTATCAACTAGAACTCCGAGAACTTCCTCACGAAGCTAGTCACTAGTGAGCACTGTTACGATATTTTGGGGCAGAGTTTCGGAGGTTTGTGTTTTTACACATTTGAAATCAATACCGAAGTTCCTGGGTTCGAGTACTGCGAGGTTCAGGAGTCGTGGGTGCGCACTGCTGATGAGTCGCATACCAGGACGAGACGGCCGTCCAGTGCTTCCAAGTTTCTAATGGTGGTCTAACAATGATTGATTGATGATCTCAAATGTGTAAAAAGACAAACGTTCAAAACTCTGCCCGAAAATACGATACACTTGATATTTTATCGAACTGTTTCCATGTATTTCGTAATTTTAAAAGCATCATCCAGTTTAAACATATTGATTCATTTGAATAAAATAAAAGACTGTAACAACCAATCTATTCGAGAATAATGAATAAAATTGCTTAATATGAAGAATAGAATAGAAAAGTTGCCGGAACTGATAATAATGGTATCCGAAATGAATCAAGGTTTATTGAGTAACTTTAATCGACCAAACCAAAATAACAGACTGTGTATGCATTGAAGAAAACAGTCATAGGCATACTAAATAAGTGAATATTATTATTATTGTTACTATTATTATTATTATTATTATTATTATTTCCTGACCAAAATAAAGAAGCAAAATAGTAGTAATAAACAATTAACAATAAATATAGATTGTATTATTTGTCGAGAATCAATAAAAACGATAACAGTTTATGTTTGAATACGGTCCATGCTTGTATTTCGAAGCTATCATTGTGCTGAAAGTTTTTTTCGAAGTTCGCTGTGAATGTCCAGCGCTAAATAAACTGTTTCCTGTATAGCTAATAATGGTTGAATCTATTACATATAATATAAACATAATCCATACAGTATCTAGACAATTAGTCCATTTATCGCATAGGAGTTAATTGATAGATTCTTGTTAATGATAAAGAATAGACAAATGTTATTACCCTTTTGTTAATCGGTACATAGATTTCACTCCAACAGGCCAGTAACGTTAGATAAAGCTCAGTGGTCAGATAGATCTTTGACTATGACAGTATGCGACGTGTGTTTGAATCTCACCTAAAAATTTTCAGTTGTTTAAAGAATGCAGGTAAGCGTTCAAGACTAGTGCCAACTAATATAAAAAATCTTCATATGGTTTTCATCTTATTGACTCTTTATTTCCAGCACAAAGGGATTAAATCTATTCTTAATCATTTATAACCACTGATCACTTCGGAATAAAAATTAATTTCAGCTGATAGATTTTGAAGTGTTTTGTTTACAATATGATGATATCCATTTATTTCTATAAAATAAACCAGTCTACTGAAAATCTAGCTTTTCAAACAATTCAAAATGTATTGTCACATCCATAGAACTAGTTAGGTGATTTATTTATGAATCGATCAAAGCTGCATTGATAAATTATTGTACATAGTTCATCTAGAATTCACTTTCAAATTTACTATGATAATTTCCAGATAAAATAAACTCAGAAAGCATCATAAGATGTCTATGAAGATTAATCTCTGTTTAATGACAGTAATAAAATTTCCGTTTTGAATATATATGTGACAAGTAGTAATGTTATTCCATTGTTAGGGCAGTTGTCATTTTATTAACATTATGCAATCGGTTTCTGGTCAGTAGATTTCTCTACTTAACTAGTGTGAAGAAATCATCCACCACATACATATTTCTTAAAAGCACAGTAAAATGATACGACAGACGGTCAACTGTTTGAGTATTTAGAAGATCGAAATATTGATGTCCCAGAATAAAATATTTATACCGGTACATTTTTCTTAACTTTACATGGGTAAACAGTCTACTGCACACACGTCGAATGCAATGATTATTACATTTAGCTAGTGCTAAATGTTTTAAATATTGTTTTTTAATCGATAATTAAATGATGTGACAGTGTGTGGTTTATCCAACAAATGATTTTACTACGGTTGCCTTATCAGTAATGATACGGCTATTGATCCCCACTAACACATGAAAAAACTGGGTCGATAACTTTTGGAGTTGAGTGATATGAAATATTAAATTTCATCAGAAAACTAGTTTCACACTTATATCGTTGTCATGACAACAGTATTTTCTTTTTTTAAATATAAGTAAATATTGAGAAAGTCGTAAGACAATAACTTACCTAGAAAAAACACACATTTTTGAGCCTATACTCATCTAGTTTTCTTAACCTGATAAATTAAAGTTATTACTGACACTTCGAATAAACACAATAGCCTGATTACCTTGTTAACAAAGTATGGCTACAGTCATTAATTAAGTTAATAAATCAACAAACCAGTCTTGAGGATTTTTGTATTCTGATCAGGATAGCTAAATCATGAAGATTTCATGATTTTTCTTGTCACAGAAAAGTGAAATTAAACTGAAAATGTTTCTTCTGTACAGTTATATAAAAATGTCAATTTGAAAGTCGTAAACATATTTAATGCACTCTTTCATCTTGAGAAAAAGGTATCTTAGAGAATAATGAAATGAAAGTGAATAACTGTCATTAGTGTGTCGAAACTTGCCTTTTTTATTTCTGATTTCATATATTTGCATTGAGTGGAACATTCACACTTCATGAGTGCAATCAAATCTTGTGCTTTATAAATATTTTAACGTAACCACATAAAG